ATACCCACTGCCTCGCTAATTAGAACATATAAGATCGCACATCGAAAATGAATCGATTGGGAAATTAAGAAGATAATGAATGATTTTGTGACTTGGTCAAAGTCAATGTGAAATTCAAAAGTCGAAGTCAAAAAGTCAAAGGTCAAAGGTCATTGATTGACCCGACACTTGACACGGTCAACCAAGGATGACTAGGACCAACACTCATTAGACAAGTAAGTGATTAAATTAGTTAAGTCACTGAAGTAATTAAATTGATTAGATTAATTTAATTATTCAATTAAAGTTATGAAACTTTAATTAAAGGTCCCATATGACTTGAAAATTCAAAACGGATTCGACCATATGAACTTAGGCACATATGTGGCACATTATAGGATTAATGTGTTGGACCAAGATAGTGCAAAAATATGACACAGGGGGGGGGGGGGGGGGGGGTGCGGCTAGGGCATGAGGGTATTTTGTCACTCTTGTGACATTTTTTATCGTATAAGTGTGTAGCTATGGTATCCTATCAAGTTGGTGAAATTGGAAGAGAGAAAACATCAAGCTCTCTCTCCCTAAACCCTTGAACCGGTCACATCAAGTGAGGATGCTAGCACCACTCTTCACTTGTTGTCTACTCATTCTCTCATCCCATTCAATCCTTGGTGAAGAGCTTTGGGGAAGTGCATATCTTTGTACCTATTTGAAGAGCTACAAGGTGGAGAATCAACATCAAAGGGAGAGCCAACAACAAAGGGACCACTCCCTCTACTTGAACATCATTCTTGGTTTCAAGATTCGCTCCAAGGGTATGAACATCTTATCTTTCTCTCAAATAGGATTTAGAGAGTTTTTGGTGCACATTTTCATAGACTTATCAAGATTAGGACTAAATGAGACTTGCATGAATCCCTAATTTATATAATGCTTCTGCTCTTACTTTGATTTCATATTCGATATGGCATGCTAGGTGATTTATACTCTCAAAGTTTGGTTGTAGAGTTTTTAGAAATCTCTACACAACACCATTCCCACAATATTCCCTTCATTTTTTCCAATGCATAAATTTATAATTCTAATTCTTTTCAATTATTAACTTGATTTTTATTTTATTTTGTGGGTAGGATATAAATGCAAAAACACTTTTGTTGAATGATAATAAACCTCCAAATAGACCTTTCAAGTTGTATCATGTTTGCAAATCTTAAAAGATTGCCCAAAATGGAACGACTTATGTGTATCTCCCACACTAATATTCAAAGATTCTTCTCATAATGGCAATACAGTCAATTTGGAGGAAGATGAGGATGATGTGGTCATGCCCACTCCAAGGCTGTTGGGAGAGATAAACAGAAGGATGAAAAAAAGAAAGGAAATGTGTTGAAGGTTATCTAAACCAAAGTGGAAAGTTCTTGTTTGAATTAGTTCAACAAGAAAATGAGACAAGGGAGGACATGAGGCCAAAGTTAGAGCTCTTACAAGAGTAACATGCCTATCAAATCCAACAAGATAAGGAGGCCAATGAACAGAGGATAATGTCCATGGACCTATCAAATTTACTCCAAGAAAGAAGAAGTACTGGGGGAATAAGCAAAATGAAATTATTGAGGCCCAAATGAATACAAGTTCCCCCTACAATCCAGAAGACAACTCTGGAGACTATTTTCCAAGCCCTCCACATAGTGGTTATTAATTTATGTTTATTTGTAATTGTTGTTTATCTTTATTTATAATTGTCGTTTATCCTTATTTCTAATTGTTGTTATAATTATTGTTTATCTTCATTTATAATTATTGTTTATTTTTATTTATGATTGTCGTTTATTTTCTATGATTAGTCTTTTTTTAAATTCAATGATAAACCACATAATTCATTAAAATCACACAATCAATTTTATAATTTAAACACACTTTCATAATTTAAACACACAACATAATTTAAACATACAACATAATTCAAACACACAAAATAATTCAAACACACAACGTAGCTCATTGCCTCTCTCCTTCGCATATCCAAATGTGGTTGATCAAATCATTTCTTAGATTGTGATGTACTTGCGAAGCATAGACCCTATTATGATGGACCATGTAGTCTGAGATAGTTTGTCTGTCTCGGTTTATGTCATACGTGATAGCATCATCATCAGATTCTGCATCTAGATCCTCATACTCATCGTCAACAATCATGTTGTGCAATATTATGCACATCATCATGATTGAATGAAGTTGTTCTTTACGCCACATATGTGTAGGGCCCCTAACAATTGCCCATTGAGCCTAAAGTATTCTGAAGGTTTTTTCAACATCCTTCCTATAAGCCTCTTGTTTTTGGGCAAATAGTCTTTTTTTTGGAGAATTCGGTTGGGAAATCGTCTTAACTAATGTGGCCCAACGATGGCAGATACCATCAGCCAAGTAATAACCCGGATTGTATTCATTTCCATTGACAACATATTGGATATGGGGAGACACTCCATTAACTACGTCATTGAACAATGAGGAACGAGCTAGGACGTTGATATCATTGTTTGATCCAACAGCTCCAAAAAAGGCATGTCATATCCAAGTGCCATACGAGGCCACTGCCTTTAGAACGACAATTGGCTTATGCTTGTAGCCAGTAAGCTGGCATGTCTAAGCAGTGGGGTAGTTCTTCCATTCCCAATGCATGCAGTCAAGACTGCCTAACATGGCTAGGAATCCTCTGTGACTAGCCTTGTGTAAGAGCCTATAAAGGTCTGCCGGATTTGGGGAATGGAGGTACCACTGGCCATACACGGCTTCAATAACATAACAAAACTTTCGCAAACATTCAAGGGCTGTAGATTCACCCAATCTACAGTACTCGTCGGTGGAGTCATCGAGCATTCATATGTGAGCATCCAAAAAATGGCCGTTAGCTTCTGCTCTGGAGATAGACTTTGTCGTCCATAAGCGTCTATCTTTTGGTTAAAGTATGACTCATGTGCAATAACATCATTTAAGATGCGATAGAAAAGCTCTCTTCTCATGTGAAATTGCTTGCGAAAGTCCACTGGGGGGTAAAGTGGGTTTTCACAGAGTAGTCCTTCATGAGACTTTTATGATGTTTTTCTCTCTTTCGATTCTTGTATTCACGGCCTACAACAAAACCACCATATTTGGATTGTTGAGTATATTGCTCCAACAAAAACGTATGGTGTTGAACGGCCATTGCAACCCTCTGTTGATGAAGGTCATCATCATCAGAATCATCATTGAAGAAATTTTGTATAGCCTTTCCATGTGAATTCATTGTAAGAAGGAGAATGAGATTGAAGGAGATTGTGTGGTCAATTGGGTAGAATAACACTTCTTAAATAGACAAGAGAATGAGATGACCTACATGTTTGAAAATAATTGAATGAAGATAGGAAAATATAGGGAAAGATAAGGGAATCCAATAAAGTGAGATGAACAAAGATGAGCAATGGTTCAGAAACATGATTGAAACAAGATAATAAGAGATGAGAAATGGTTCAAAAAATAATTGAATGAAGATAGGAAAAGATAGGAAAAGATAGGAAAAGATAAGAGAATCTAATAAAATGAGATGGACAAAGATGAGTAATGGTTTATAACATGATTGAAACAAGACAAATAGGAGATGGGAAAGGGTTGATAAAATAATTGAAGAACACAAGTGGAGGTGGGCAAAAGTTCAAAACATTATTGAATAAAGATAAAGGAATCCAATGAAGTAAAAGTAAAAGTAAAAATAGAAGACATTATGGCAATGACTTCAATAAAGGGTTCGAATTATTCCGGACATACGCAAAAGTAGCAACTCCAAGGGGCTATAGATTGGGATAATATGTTGTGACCGCATTGCAACTAACCAAATAAATCATGTGGTTCCATTGTTTTGAATATAAATCGTGTGCTACTTGTTTTTACTTTCAAAGTCCATGAAATAAGATGTTGTTGCACCTTTTTTTTTAATTTTTAAGTGAAATTCTATTATGTTTTGGAATTTTAATTTTTTTAGGTTAAAATGTTTAGAAAATTAAATCACGAATATTGAAAAAAAATAATATCAAGAAAAACTCACGAGATAAAAAAGTTAGGGATTAATCATTCTTAAACAATTTAATAAAGTTGCGGACTTAAAATTATGAGTCTGCAAGGTTTGGAGGAAAAAAAAATTTGAGTCATGAAAATACATAAATAGTTGTATTTTGGAGAGTGGAAATTTGAGTTTAGCTCCAACATTGTTGGAGATGGCCTAAGGGCCAAGGTGAAATTTTACCGAAACTTCAAGAATACAAAGTGTAATTAATGCCAAAAAGAGTCACAATTATGATTAAAAATAAGCTCTGGAAAGGAGAAAAAAGGGTACTAGCTTCATCAAATTTACGAGACATGGCACGTAGTTTAACATGATTTGGAAATTAAGATTTCAAAAAGTACACATTGTTCGAGCGCACATTATCTTTGGAAAAAAAAATTGTCAACCACGTGCTCGCTAAATTATAAAGACCACTTCTCCTAAGAACGTACTGAATTCAAAGATAAACAATTACAAGTCGTAATTCTATTGTTTTCAAGTTGATATATTTATAGAGACTATACAGACTGGGGATTAAGGCACCCCCTCTAACCTTTCTATGACTACATCCACTATGACATATACACAGCTTATTGTAACATGCATGGGTTTTATATTATATAGGTCACATCTTCTCCTCGCCTACTTCTGAACTTTTACAATGGCAACCATGCACACCAGAAAGCTGTACTTCTTAACGGACTACCGAAGCAGCCTAGCCAGAAGACAGCGATTTCCATTGTGTATGTTGAAGTGAACTAATATTGGAAAGGAAATAGGCAATAGAGATAGAAATATAGTGGCACTCCCATGCACCCTCCCCTCTCACCACCATGGAAGTACATGACCCCGTATGAAGTAAAACCCATAAAGCTAGTGAAAGAAAGCCTATAATACCATAAAAGCAGACTCAAAATTTACCCTAGAGTTGAGTAACCTCTATCTGTTATAAGCCCCCTGCCAAGAAACAATTGCTACTGCCAGAACTACCGACACCAAAAGGTGTATCACGGACCATGAACTTCACACTACGTGTCCCAATGTCATCCAATATTTCAAGGCACTCCCGCAAATCTGCATCGCTCACTAGCATCACCCATTCCTCTTCATCGTCCAAATACTTGAGCTGGAATGTCCCATTTTGCAACTTCAGCCTCTTTGCAACCTCTTCATACAGTTGAAAGCACCCAACAGAAGGGTCAAACTTGAACCTGATCGTATCTTCTTTATAAGTAGCTTTCACAGTTATTTTTGACCCATTCTCAACACTGCTTGCGTTCATGTTTGGTTGCTTTTGCTCCTCAAAGCTCTGAGAACTTGATGAGCGCAGAGTTGAACCAGAGCAATTCGTTGAATCCGTCATGCTCGAAGAAGTATGCTGGTTATATTCAACAATCCCATCATCCCCGTCGACTCCCGTGTCCATATCATCTGCAGCAGCCAAGGAGCTTGAGCTTTGAGACACAAAGTGACAGTCAGAATTCTCTAATTTTAGACTGTTCTTGCTGTGACCCCATTTATTTCCTTCTATTGCAATTGGCTTGGAGTCCCTTTGAGGCATAAGAGGGATATTCTGTTTCTTTACCCCTTCCTCGTGAGAAGTTGGAATACAACACCCATCCTCTTCCAACTTAATTGCCAAACTCTCACCATTATTGCAAGACACTGAAGGTACTGGAACTGGATCTTGGGTAACTAGCTCAGAATTTTGAACAGGCAGGCTCTTCTCAGGGAATAAACGACTTTTCTGAGCATCAAAGTCTTGGATGATGGACCCTGTTGCCACAAACCCACCAGTAGTTGGGTCATACTTCAATCCTCCCTCAACCCCCTGAACAGAATCAAGCACAGTTTGTATTTTCTTCAATGAACGGTTGACCTTATTTATTTTACGAGATGGCCATCTAGAGATCCCATGTTGTCTGCAGATCCTCTTTAGCGTAGTGGGGCAGACTACCAAAATAAAAAAATTTAATTTTAGAAATCATTTCAATTAGATTTGCAAGAATTATACTAAATAATAAAATGATAATTTGCACGACGACTTGATAGTAAGGTTTTGCAAATGAATATTACTAAATTTCTCTAAGGTACTTGGCATAGATAGATAAGAGAGGTATAACTGTTTCATATCCAAATACATACATCTTTTTTTACTAGGATGCAAATATCAATATTAAATACAGATAACATACACCCTGATCAATAACCAATACTTCATAAACATGAAGATACTTAGAAATTATAATTTTAACACTTGGAACACTATCAGATAAATCTCCAGTTTTCCTATAGAAATTTAAGATATACATCATATATTAAACCAATTTAGTAAGAGAAAAATTTATATCTATACAAGTAAAAAGACAGGATAAGTTTATGGCATGCATTTACCCCTGTTTAACTTAGCATCAAGCAAGGGGCTTGTAGCTCAAGTGATTATGAGCATTTACCCCTGCACCTAAGGTCCTAGGTTCGATTCCCCCTTCCCCCAATATCACTTGTATACAAAAAAAACTTGGCATTAAACTATTGTCACGACTGTCAAGAAAATAATATATATATCTCAGATGAATCTTTTCTAAGAGTGACCTCTCTCTCTCTCTCTCTCTCTCTCTAATGTTTTATTTATCCATCTCTCTACTGTTTATGGCATGCATTTTCAGTATTGTTTAACCCAATGTTATATCATTTAAGTGAAGCACCAGGTGAATCTTTTCTATATAGGGTCTGACTAGACATTAGCATATAGGAGATACAAGATTCTAGAAGAAAGCATGAATGAAAGAAACATAGGCTCCATCTGTACCTTATTACAAATAAATTAATAATTATTTAAAAAATTATGTTTTTTTAATGAATTCCTAATGATAAATTCTCATATGGATTCTAGAACATTTATAATCTGCTTTTATGCTTAGCTATTAAAGTATCAAATCCCACAATGAGTAGATTCATTATACTTATATATGAGACACCCAAGAGATGAAGTCTCACCCCCAATGCTCTTAGCAGCATCCTTGAGACTCCCAGAGAAGTATTGCTGTAGAACACTCAAGCTCACATTTTTCTCCGCTGTACTTCGCTTTTTCTCCATCTGCCTTCTTGATCCAGGTGCCTACAATGCATATAAGCAGTCATTCCCCCAACTACATTCCTCAGGTGAAGAGCCAGCAGCAAAAGTTTATAACATTGCAACGTAACTTTCCAGGTAAGCATAGATAACCCTTGGCAGTGCTTCCATATTTAAGAAAGCATTTGCATGGAGATATTTAATTTCAGATTTCTTTTAAGGTATGAGCCAGCAGTAAAAGATATAAGGATAATGCGATCATAAATGACCTAGTCTAGAAAGTTCTATCAATCTTATATTTGTATACTCTTCGCAGCAACAGTAATAATAACTCCTGTCTGAAAGAGTGTAATGACGAGGTGTGTCTCAAGGAAGGCTTCCACATAAATTTATTACCTATTATCAGAGTGGAGACTAAACTACACTTACAATGGTCAAGCCAGAAACCCAAACCCTTAAAGGTACCAAAAAGATAATTATCTTCGTATTACACCTTCCAGACTCTTAATAATTTATTTCAGACAGTAAATTTAAAGACAGCAATCTTATTAAAAGGGGTATAACAACCTTATGGTTTCTTGGTTCTACAATGCTTGCGTAGTTCAGCCATTGAGAGTTATTTCAAACTACATACTTAGAATTTTTACAATAAAACTCTAAGCATAAATGGACAGTAAACTTCCTCCTTTCTCCCTTTAACCTTCCTTTTTCAATATATTTTCCAATTTCACCTCTACTAGGACACCAGGTATTCCAAATTTTGTTTATCAGAAATACAATATTCAGGTATCCCAATTCTCAAATCAAGAGTAACTAAAACACAATCACACAAGAAACACAGGCATACATTACAAAGAAAAGAAAAAATAGCCATATTAACTATCAAACTACACACCACAGACGGTAAAAACAAACAAACCTCCCCACCCAAGAAACTTGTGCCAGTAACTAACAAAAACACAATGAGACATACAGATATGCCGTCATTGCTTCACATTACAAAAATTATAAAGTTCTCTGAAGAAACTGAGACAGGTGTATTTCTAATAATGTTCTTTTATGAAAGCAATACCTGTTCACGAGGATTCTCTGCTTCGATTCCCACATTTCTTCTATTAAATACATCAGAGGGCATATTCTCAATTGAATTCAATTCACTATCTGATGATGCTGTCTGAGAATTTCTCTGTTGTGGGCTATTGGGGATCGGCCCTTTCTGAAACCCAGTGTTGGAGCCTTGTACCCCGGCTAATTCTGCATCTGAAACTGTCCTTAAACTCTTACACATTTTCTGCATGGTACCTGAAAGGTTGTTTAACAAAAGTTGCTGTTCTGAGCTCCCCTTCACATTGACAGGGAGAAAAAACTCTAATATATAGTCATCATCACCAGTGTAGGTGCTCCTTAGCCTGATTGCAACAGCGGCATTCAAACCATACTTGCGTGCATGATGAACAAGTGGATATTCATAAATATCATACACCTTAACATCATGAAGGAAGAAGGGATGATTTGATTTAAGTGCTTTCCCAGCAATTCCTTCCCCTTCCTCAAGATGATGTTCTACACATGCATGCACAAAGCCTTGCATCGTTCTATCATTTACATAACACGCTGTTTCGTCAATGCATAGAATGGATTTCTCATTTGAATTTGTAATACCCCCTCTGACACGTACTCTTCTAATTTCATCACCATCACCCTCAGAGTAGCAACAAGGAATCCAGGTTAGAGCCAATGGCAATATGTGTGCATGGCAAACAGCTCGTAAGACATCAGTTATTTCAGTTAAAGCAGCTCTTTGGTTCATTGAGAGGCACTGCAAGCAATAGATTACCTTGTAAGAAGTGCAGAAAATTTTAACAAGGAAAACAATACTACAAATTTTGCTTCCTAAAAAAAAATTTATTTTTCTTTGGGTTGTAATGGAGATAAGATTTTGACAAATGGGCAAGAAACAATATTCTGCTTGTACCTGGGGATGAAGTCGAGGAGGCAACGTGGTCCTCAAATTCACAGCCTGCAAAAAATTGTCATCAAAATAGATTTCATTGTCATACTTAATATTCACAATAACAATAATACATGTAAAGCATATAGGTCGTGCAATTTGTACAGGATCTTGGGAAGCACCCTCACAAGAATTAGTGATGGTGCTGCATCATAAGCATTGAGATACCTGTGCAGAAATCTGGAGGTGTCTTAGGTAGTCTAACAACAATTGACGCAGTTCCAATGGAAAATGAAGTGAAACAAATTCTGCACATTCCTACTCTAGTATTTATTGTTTTGATTAATATAAATACCCATACTAGCATGACAATTAAAATCGAGAGGTATAGCAACTTTCCAACTATTGGATAATATTGGCATCTAAAATGAAATAAGACGTAAAAACAACATACAGATCCTAAAAACACATTTGGACTCTTATCTAATGCTTTGATATCTTTTCCTGAGAACCTAACACCATGCATGTAATAGAAAGTAAAAAAGGGGGGCAACTTTTAACTAGAAATTTTTCCTTCACTCCCCTTAGTGGGTTGAACGGTTTCTATGATCCTTTAGGGAACTTGTGGGAAGATCTTATACCAGATTTTTTTTTCCCAACATCTACTAATTTTACAAATTTGAACCTACACCAAAGAAGAAGGGAGGCAGAGAGAGAGAAGATTTCTTGTTGCATACACATGGAGAGAGAAACTGACCTGTAGTGCATTGCAAACTATTTCCATCTCTGTATCAAAATTGGGTTTCTCTTTTGTACTGACAAGCTCCAACACAGCACAGCATGACATTTCAGAGTCAAAATTGAAAACTGGTAAGGCAATTGATCCACGGACTTGATGATTAACTGCATGATCCACCCGCAGGTACTCAGCCTTATTGTAATAACTAACATTTGAAGTCCACTCTGGAACTTTGGAGACAAATACACGCCCAGGAAGGCCCAGGATAGAACCCTGTTTTTCTTCTGCAGGGAATGTAAACGTCCTTGACACTTCACGATACCCTGCAAGAATATGGTCAAGCAAATAGGGTTGCTCACAAGTGCTTAACAAGTAGTGATCACCATACTTCACAGGAACCCATAATTGCGCCAAAATACCCCCACCAGAAGACTCTTTAAACAACGACAGTGCCTTAAGCATTTTCTCATTAAGTGACAATCCAGGTGGCCTAGAGATCATATATTTCCCCACATCCATGACATTATTCTGTTGAAAAGAACCATTATTTAGCTTGGCAGCCAAGTCATTAGCATCGTGGGAATCAGTTGAAACCCCGAATTGGGGGTTGTCCATTTGCTGGAACACAATTTTGTCTTCACAACTGAAAGAACTTCCCCCCACATTAAAAGTTTCGCCACCTTCGGTCCCAGGCAATGCCTCACCATTCTGTTCTGCAAAGTTCAAGGCGTCCAAAGGCGCATAGGTCACTGATGGACATGATGGCACGCCAAAAGAGGCTGAAATCTGATCCATTGCTGCTGGACTGCACCATCCAGCATAAGTATCAAAATTCATAAGCTCAGAAATGTTATTAAACATATCCTCTGAAATCGAGTTCCTTGTTCCAACATCAAGTGATCCCAAATTCTCCACCTGAGCTCTGGACGATGCCCAATGATCGCTCCCTTTCTCTTTAGGTGTAACGGGGTATTCCATATTCAGGTTAAAATCCACTTCCAGATAAAATTGACCACTGTTATTGCTCCACCAAATAACTGCTGCTCAAAACCATCCTTCTTCCCCAATCATCTTCCTCTACTGGCAGACCACTTTCAGCGTTCATCATTTAACAGGCCTTCCACTTTCGACAAGCAAATCCAAGAGCTCTAGGACCAAAATAAAAACCCCAATTCAACAACAAAACACTAAAACTCTGTCCACTCGATCAGCAAAGAAAACCTGCACTTCCCACAACACAAAATTACATTTCTCACTTTATCCCCATATGGAAAAATACAATATTATTCAACATTCAATCACTCCCCAACCACAACCACGTGAAATTGAGCTGTAACACTTACTTCTCTCAGCTTTCTATAAATAGCAATAAAAGAAATCACAGAAACTGACCTCAAAGCGATAATATCAACTCTGCCGACGCTGAAACCGCCGAAAATTGCTGAAGCAAAACGCCAAAGCTTTCAATCAGCAACAACACAGAAACCCCTTCAGATTCGGCTTTTCTGCTGCTCACAAATATGTGAGGCTCTGTCTCTATGTGTGTATTTATATCTGTATATGCCAAAAACTGCCGAAATAAAGCCAAATTACACTGAAATTCATGAGCAAATCCAGAGCTCCTACTTCAAGACGCAAAATTGTAACTTTCCGAGCATCCACCCAAATTAAATATCCAAAGAAACCTCACGAACGCCCTAGAGAAACTCGGGCAGTCCGTGCTAAATTCCAAGGACTCGAGAGTAAGAGAAAGCGAGTGACTCAGAGAGAGAGACAGAGAGAAACAGGCCTGAAATACTTAAAAAGGAAACCCTAGGTGGTGTTAGAGGGTGGAGTTAACGGCTTTGAACGGTTGCATCATAGAATTGTTGTTGTTTAGTTACTAAAGATAGAAAGCCTGAGCTTGTTACATAAAAAGGACAGAGAGATTGTAATTGGAAAAGAGAGAAGAAAGAAGAAAAGCTTTTTGTAAGCTTTAGCATAGTAAAGTGCAGCAGCGTTCACCGTTCGTTCTTATGCCCTCGTAAATTACTCTTCCTCTGACATGGACAACTAAAGTTTCAAAATCAAGAATCTAATAACTCACCATTTACTAATAATTTTATAAGATACTTTCATTAATTAATTACATTTACAAGTTGACAATTCATTTAGAATGACGATCCTATAATTTTATTTAGAGTTTTTATCACAAATGGTCCTGAGGTTCGCAAAATTATCAACTTTGGTCCTTTATATATATATATGACATTATTGATTCTTTATTTTACACACCACACATTAATTTGGTTCATGTTATTAGGTTTCGTCAAATTTTCTGTTAAGTTGCTAACATGATATATATATATATATATATATATGTATATGTAGAGCCTACATATCTAATAATATAGAGCCACATATTTTTAAATAAAAGATAATCATTTAAAACATAAAATCCATTTAAAAATTAAGCTTAAAACATCAAATTTAAAATTTATTAAATATAAAATAAATAATAATAATAAAACCTACATCTATCCCTCCACCCACACCCCACCCCAACCCTCATCCCCATCCCCAGCCCCAGCCGCAACCAACCATTCCCTACCCTTATTCTCGAGCCTTACACTTGACCCAACAGAAACCCCACCTCCCCAACCCACCTCTGCCTCTCTCTCTCTCTCTCTCTCTCCTCTTCCTCCCTCACCCTCTCTCTCTCTCTTCCCATCCCATTTTTAACATTCTTTGGCTTTCAGTGCTCAACCCAACACATTGTGTTCCAATCTTTTGTGAACAAAACCATGCTTCAAGGCTTCTACAACCCAAACTTTGGGTTACCCAATGAGTCTTTGCCACTTAGAGACGATCGACGTCATAAGTAACCAACTTTCTTTATATAAAGCAACGTTCTTCTCCTTTGATTATTATATATTATTTTCTTAGAATTATCCATTTTATAAGTAACGTTGCTTTAGAAACTGGATAATTGTAAACCACTTGGGTGCACAAGAAACTTTCTTTTGCAACTTAGAGACGATCGAGGTCATAAGTAACCAGCTCATTTATATAATGTTTTCTCCGAATTTTGGATGCCTACTGAGACTTAAGTTCCTCGGCTTGAGCTATTGCCCCATGAGAATTTCTCTTACTATAAGAGCATTGATCTTTCATAAACGGTGTTGACGTATCAACTTCTCTTGCATAGATATGTATTGCTTTTGGTCATGAACTGTGTTACAACGTCTAAGATTATCTAGAACAGCTTCCTAGAGTTTGTTTCCTATAATATAGGAATTAGGATCTGACCAGAGTCACTCAGGTGTACGCTTCCACTCTGATGCCATAATACTATTCTCTTCACATATTTCGCTTTTCATCTTATTTATGTTTCTCTAACATAAAAGACATACTTATCAGTTGTCCAGGTTCTGATCCTGGGGTGTCATCTTGTTGTCCTTAATATACTCTCGCATTAAGTGCAACTTGCTGTAGTATATTGGTCATATCATATATGATTGTATACTTATATGATAAGTACATGAACTTTTCATTCCTTTCTTTTAGATTTCTTTTGATGAAGACTTCACTTGGTGATGGCGTTTTCTCTTAAACTTTGAACATGCTCCAACTTTTCCTTTTGGAATATAACCATTTCTAAAATGCTTTATTCAAGATACCATTTATCTTGGATGTTTAAATGTGGTGAATCAACGAAAATGAGTTGAATTGTCACTTTGTCCGATAATCCGGTTTTGGCTTACAACCAATCATTCTACTTGTTTCACAACAAGCATCCATTAACTCTTTGATGGATACGACATCCTTTAGGTGATCTAGGATGTCCCACAAGTTTACCTTTCGAACTATAAAGTTCTAACCTTTATAACAATTTCAATCTCATTACCGTTTAATTGGACTTATCAAATATTTTGTTATCCTTGGGGTTATGACGTAAGGAGGGATTTAAATGACTTATCATAAAAGATTTATACTTTATTATCCTTTGTGATAAAGATCATTCATTGACATATCTTGTACATAAAACTCTTTATCTCTTAAGAGGTATCTTGTTTAAGCATTAACCCTTCATAACAATTAAAAGAGTGTTGATGCTAAATGATTTCCCTTTTCTTTGCTTTCTTGAAATCCTAAATCTCTTGGATTTCGGACTTAGTAAAGTCCAATCGTGAGCGATCAATGGTGAATGCTATAGAAAGACAATGGATACCATTCCATTCATTATCTTATACTACTCATGTGATCTCCATTCTAGTTCATAACTTAGATTGTTTGGATTTCTCAATTTCTAGATGCAACTCATAGGTAAGAATTGGAACCTTTAAAGAACCACACATTGCTTATCCTATGAATATTATCTTGATTGTGAAATCTAAACCTTTTAGAAATCATTCTTGTATTAGATTTACCATATCTCAATATTCTAAACAATTAATGTAAGAACAGTTTCATACATTCATCTCACAAAGCATATAGAGATCAAACTTCATATTACCATAATACGAATAGTCATATATAAAGCAAACTAGTGGTTATGTCATACAAACCATAAAACTATCTTCTAAAACATGAAGATAGCAAGTAAGTTCTTTATACATGCCAAAAACCAAATTAACTAAATAAGTTCATAGTTCTAAAAGATCTCCATAAACAAATGAAAGCTTGCTTGACAATTCCAAATCCCAGCAATCTTCATCTCTATGAGCTTCCTACTTTTTCTCTGTCTGTGCAACAACATTACCTATAATAGATCATTGTTTGTTAGACTCAAGTAAGTTATAAACATTTGCTTAGAACTTTAGTGACAAATTAAGTTGTACCTTCAGCTCGGTTGTCCTTTGGGCTAGCTAAGTAAGCCCGACAATTCATTTTCCAGGGTTCGTCTTTCCTACAATGGAAACATTGTCCTTTCACCTCTTTTCCTTCTTCTTGTTTCTTCTTGACGCCTCCCTTGGGTTTGAGTTCAGGGTTCCATTTCTTCTTTTTGCTCGCATTGGATTTACCTTTACCTTTATTACTGGGCTTAGTAGAAGAAGTTGAACCCTTATAAAAAACAACAATGATCCCATTCCCTCCTTCTCTCTTGAAGGTCTTTTCAGTAGTCACACACATGTTCAATAGCTTTGAGAGAGTGTGCTCTATCTTCCCCATGTTGTGGTTCATAACAAACTGGGAGAAGGAATCAGAAAGGGATGCAAGGAAGATGACGGTGGCCAAGTTGCGGTCCAGTGGACTGTTAAGACTTTCCAGCTACTCGATGAGTCCTATCATCTTCAATCCATGTTGGTGGGCTGGGGCTCCCTTAACCATCCTGGTCTTCAAAAGCTCACATACATCGATAAAGTGTCTGTTGCGTGTGCCTTCTCCATAAAGCTCTTGGAGATGGGATATCATGTTAGCAGCATGTATCATATGCTCATGCTGTTTCTAGAGCTCCTCATTCATGGAAGCTAGAATGTGGCACTTGGCTTGACAGTTATCGTCCACATGTTTGTCATACTTAGCACATACTCCCTAAGAAGCATCTTCAGCAGGGGGCTCTATGTCAGGAGCTTGCTCTAGTACGTACACAATCTTCTTGATAGTCATGAATATCTTGAGATTGCGGTCTAGACAATGTTTGTCTAGGAGTTTGGTAAGTGCGGATCCAAACATATAGATTGATTTTAGATTTACCATTGACTCGGGTCTTTAAGTCAAAAGGTAACCCCCACCATTTTTGTCAAATTCTCATATCCCTCAAGATGGAATCTGAGAGTTTTGGTTAAAACTCTTAGTGGGATAGGAGTCTCCCTATTATCCGGATCACCTTACCATAATAGGATCTAAGGATATTCGGACAATAAAGAGAAGGCGCGCTTGCCTATTCACATCTTGATGTGATTACCCATTTCATTCGGTCTCTAGCAAATGTGAACCCCCGAATGTTATCGTGAAGTCCCATTGTACTAGTTAAGTCTTAGCCCACCATGCTTGCTTAGTATAGGAATCAAACATGAAACCTCATCATATTAGAATGGTGGCCTATGCTTGTTCCTACCTTTGCAACATCAAATGCATGAAATGGATCCCTCCTAAACATGTGTCGTTGCTGTCAACTTCCCCATGTCTGAGGCAAGCCTTCACATGGTGGAAGGCCACGCAAAAGACATCAAGAATGCCTTTAATTTATCGACTTAATGTTATCAATCGATTGAGGGAGTTTTGGGTCTCATCTTTTATCTTGTTTAAACACTTTAATCATTTTGACAACATATTGTCCTAGGACAACTATTACTCCATTTAAACATATTAATAGTTACACTATACTCCCACTATTTAGTTTCAAAAACTCAAATCAATTTCATAAAACTATTTTATTTTGAAATTGGGAATATGTGTTACTATTAACGAACTACCTTTTGCATCTCTTAAGTATGGTTAAATAGTTGTCTATAGGCTCATGGATGATTATGGACTTTTCATTTTTGATTCAACATCGAGCCAAGATGTTGAATCTAGGTCTTTGGCAGGTGATTGATTTTATTACATTTTAGCTTCTTTAAAACATTCATGGTTGATGGCCATTGGACCCAAGACTATTCTCAAAGTCCCTAACTAATCTTCTTTCTTCTTTGTCTCCTTCTTGAGCTCCCTTCTTCCTAATCTCTATAGAAGACTCAAGGCCCAATGGACCTTGAGGGAATTGTGTTTGGAGGGAGATAGAAATTACATAAGAGAATGAGAGAGAAGAAGCATGCAAGCTTCTATTTAATTTACAAACCATATGCTAATTTAAGCAACATAAAAAAAGAAAAAGAAAAAAAGAAGTTACAATCCATCCATTCAATCAAACCCATTCATCTAATGAATTAATGGCCAATTACATAGCTCAATTGGTTTTTGGGGCCTTAAGTCCGTAATCATCCTTATTCCAATCATTTAATCAAATTTAACAATAAAGGATATGATACATTAAACAATTGAGACTTTAGAACTTATGGGCGTATTTCCAATGGAACATTTAAATCAAACATAAAATTTTTAATGTTTCACTAAAAGACCAAATAGTTTTTAGTGTATTAGGGCAAAAATTGCAATTTTTAAAGTTATGGGCCAAAACCGAAAATACTACATTTTAAATTTGGACCCAACATTTTTGTGTAATTTCATGAAGACCCAAAATGGGTATAATCTTTGTGGCTGCCAAAATTTCTAGGGGGAGGGGTGGTTTTGTGTGTGTGTGGTCCCATTTGTCATGACATTCCAAATTGTACCTATAAAGCATCTTTATTCTCATTGGCCAATTTCAAAAGATGAAATGGCAATGGGAGACACAGGGTACAACCCTATGGCCCTTGTCATAAAATATTTTTGACTAACATGTAACCATCATATCTCATACAATTTCATGAATCAAAAGGCAATATTCTTTAGGGATCAACAAGAACTTTTCATGAAAATCTCAAGAACATAAAGAACAATCTTATTCTTTCAAAACCTTTTTATAAAATCATATAAAATCCTAAAATCTTGGAAAAAAAATCAAATTTTTGTGTTTAGAATTTCAAGACCAACACAACAATGTATATTAGATAAGCATGAAAAAAACACACAAGACCAAAAACCCAAAGATGTCGCCACCCCTTTTGTCCATTTTGAAAAATCTCTATCATATGCAACATCCAAAATTCCAAGTATCAAGCATGCATGTGAATCAATCATGAAAGATATGACATGTTATAACATTTATAACCAGGAAACTAAGCCCATATTCTTTCTAAAACTCAAAAGTGTGTACCTTTTCATAGACCTTGGCTCTTGATACCACTTGAAGGAAATATTGTGGGAATGATGTTGTGTAGAAATTTCTAAAAACTCTACAACCAAACTTTGAGAGTATGAATCATCCAACAAGCCATATCTAATATGAACTTAAAGTAAGAGGAGAAGCATTAAATAAACTAGGGATTCATGCAAGTCTCATTTGGTCTCAATCTTTATAAGTCTATGAACGTGTGCACCAAAGACTCTCTAAATCCTATTTGAGAGAAAGATAAGATGTTCATGCCCTTGGAGCTAATCTTCAAACCAAGAATGGTGTTCAAGTAGAGGGAGTGGTCCCTTTGTTGTTGGCTCTCCCTTTGTTGTTGATTCTCCACCTTGTAGCTCTCCAAATAGGTACAAAGATATGCACCTCTCCAAAGCTCTTCACCAAGGATTGAATGAGATGAGAGAATGAGTAAACAACAAGTGAAGAGTGATGCTAGCACCCTTACTTGATGTGATAGATTGAAGGGGTTAGGGAAAGAGAGCTTGATGTTTTCTCTCTTCCAATTTCACCAACTTGAAAACCCCTAGGATGATAAGATACCATAGCTACACACTTATAGGATCAAAAATGTCACAATAGTGACAAAAATACCCTCATGCCTTAGTGTAGCCGCACCCCCCTTGTGTGTCATCTTTTTGCGCTATCTTGGTCCAACACATTAATCCTATAATGTGTCACATATGTGCCTAAGTTCATATATGGTCAAATCCGTTTTGAATTTCCAAGTCATATGGGACCTTTAATTAAAGTTTCATAACTTTAATTGAATAATTAAATTAATCTAATCAATTTAATTACTTTAGTGACTTAACTAATTTAATCACTCACTTGTCTAATGAGTGTTTGTCACATCCCGGGATCGGCTCCGCCGTAGCACGATATTGTCCGCTTCGGGCCCCCCTATCTGCCCTCACGTTTTTATTTCTGGGAGCTCATGAGCAACTTCCTAGTGTGTCACCCATCTTGGGATTGCTCTAGCCTCAACTCGCTTAACTTCGGAGTTCCCATGACTCCGAAGCCAGTGAGTTCCTAAAAGGTCTCTTGCTAGATGGAGGCGGGCATGTACATATAAGGCGCATCACCCCCTCTCCGTTGGTCGATGTGGGATGTTATAATCCACCCTCCTTAGGGGCTCGACGTCCTCGTCGGCACACTCGCACCACACGGCAGAGTGGCTCTGATACCAAGCTAACAGGACCCGCCTTGAATTTCCTCAGAAACCAGGACGGTTCCCGCCTTAATACCGACATCACCCCGATGCCGGGCCCACTTACTAAGAGTCGAGACTTTCTACCAAAAATTTGGCAGAGTCTCCCCTGTAAATTGAACATTTCCCAAACTTCAACCTGCTCAAAATTCACAGTTTAACAATCCCAACCAGCAGCATGATTTAAAGCAAATAGACAATTTACAACAAAGGCCTCCGGCCTCACAAATCAAACCCTACGCGAGCGATAACAGAGCATGTCTAAGAATTTCAGTTACAACAAAAACAAAGTTCAACTGGAATAAAGTGAAGAAAGAGTTCCTACGATGGCTCAAGATTCAGGAGCACATGATCTAGCTCAGCTGTGGAGCTTAGTCAACTACTGGCTGGGGGGACGCAAAATAGAAAATTGTGAGTGGACAAAAATAAAGTTCAGTTCAATAAAAACCAACATAATATAACCCCGCTGTTAGAAAACCATGCAAGAAATCCAAATGCATCCCAAAACCATCATAATCAAGTATAAATATGTGTCAAGTCAAATCAAGTACCGGATGCCAAGTCCGAAATCCATAAAGAAAACTTTACAAACCCACCATCCAAAACTTATAAATCCCACAACTAAACTCTCGAAAACGTACCCATTTGCACGACCGGCGAGGAAGTATCCTCACCGAGAAACAAGAACGAACGAATAGTTATATATATATAATTATATAATATAAGATATATATATATATAATATAATATAACCACACCTAGTTGTACCGGGGAAGCAATCCAACCGGGGGATTGTTTGACTATTCCACATGGCAGAGTCCACATAACAAAAATTCCTCAATTCACCATGTGACTAGGGAACGACCCGTCCAATTGGGGGACTAACTCTCAGCCAGCACGTACAGCCGAGACACTCAAAACTCGTACATCTGTGACCAGTCCTACGCGTGCAGACTACCCAATCAAGGGTCTACAGCAACATCTCGTCAAGGATGCCCCGAGTTCCAACAATTCCAAGTATCTCAAGTTTCTGTATCCAAGTTCCAAAACCGGGGGAGGTACATAGGGTAGTGCTTATATCACTCCAAACTGACATTCTATACTAAAACCTTTCCACCATCTCAACTTAACAACCCAAGTACCCCACACATAGACAATATAGATAGAAATTCTCAAAATCCATACATACATACTCAAGATACTCAAATATGTCAAAACCCGAAATATAATACCAAAGCTTTATAAGAACATCAAATTTGACAATCACATATATGTTATATCCAATATACCATTTAAAACAATATGCAATATTTTTCTATTAGTAAAACCATGCTTAAGATTTGAAAACAAAGTCCACTCACAAATTAGTCCCACACTGCTTGACTCTGAGAGGGTCCCGCCTACTGCGTATGTGTGGTCGGAGTACCTATTTTAGAATACGAATACGAGATTAACACCAAGCGTTTTGAAAGAGAACTTTAAATTAAAATCCTAGTTTCCCGGGTTTCCAAAGTGTACGAGGAATGAGCCAAAACTAAAAGTTCATAAGGGTTCCACAAGGTTTAGGATACACGTCTTGTAAGTTTGGTCCGAAACAGATGGTTAGATCGCTCACGATCGGACGGTTATCACAAAACTTAAACTTTAAGTTATTGAATCGGAACATCCGGGGTTCCGATTCACGATCCGCAAATTTCTACATGATCCTAAGAGTGTCTAGAGTAACATAAATTGGAATGAAGTCGATCCAACGGTCCGAACCTATCGAACCCAGATAACGCACAATATGCGACAATCAAACGATTACCAAATTGAAATCCGAGAATTCCGTTAGACTTGGGACAATACAAGGATCATTTTAGGGCACAAAGACAGACTGACATTGTTCCCACGTGCCACCCCACGCCCCGGCAGTGCATGGGTGCCCTAAGAAATTTCCAGCGGCGGGAAAAACTCCAAATCGCTGGCCAAGATTTCCAGGTTAGGTAAATCACATGCAAAGGAGCAACTTTTGTTTTTAGACCTACCCCAAAAAGTCGACGGAAGTGGCCGGAATTAGAGGCCGAAACCGGCCAAAACTTCCATTGCTTGGAAACGTTTCAAAACTTAGAAATTAATCCTAAATACCACAACCAGCAGCTATAACATGTTGAAAGGATAGAAATGCATACCAAGTTCGAAGAATTTGGTTGTCGGAATCACCCGAATGAGCTCCTTCAAGTTATGGGTAAAACCGGTGACTCTTCTACAATTTCCGGCTACCACAGGCAGCGATGGGTGGCGGTGAAGGGTTGGGATAGGAAGAGGGAAGTGAGCTTGATGTTTTGGTACCAATATCACGAGGTTTGGTGGCCAGTGGAGGAAATGGCGGAGGAAAAACCGTGCGGATGAATAGTAACCAAACGGGGGGTTGTTTTCTGCACGCAGGGGGAGAGAGAGAGAGAGAGAGAGAGAGAGAGAGAGAGAGAGAGAGAGAGAGAGAGAGGGAATTTCCAGATTTTTATCAAACCAACTTCAAAGAAATTACAGTTGTGCTACTAAACTTGTTTTGATCGTAACTCCTTCGTTACAACTCCGAATCGAGCCCACTACGTGTCTACGGACTCATCTCAGTAGGATCTACCCAAAATACCAGTCACAGCCCCAAACTCTTCCTGATTAAAAAAAAGACCGAAATACCCCTACCCCAAGGGTAATTTCATAAATTCATATTTAATTGAATTAAATACTTTAAATAAGGAATTTAATTTGGAGTCGGGGTGTTACAGTGTTGGTCTTGGTCATCCTTAGTTGATCGTGTCAAGTGTCAGGTCAATCGTTTGACCTTTGACCTTTGACTTTTTGACTTCGACCTTTGAATTTCACATTGACTTTGACCAAATCACAAAATCATTCATTCTCTTCTTAATTTCCCAATCGATTCCTTTTCGATGTGCGATCTTATATGTTCTAATTAGCGAGGCAGTGGGTATGAATGATTCACTCTGAATCAAGTGTGAATTGTATCCCTCCACACAATTCTCCCTATTGGCGAAGACTAATTATAATTAGTTATTACAGGGCTTCCACAAGCCATGAGTGACACCTAGCAGTATGTCATGACTACTCAAGCTAAAAAGAATTCATTTAGAGAACCTAGTTAGTTTGTGATTACAATGCAATTTGATCATTCTCTAATTCAATACTCTATGTCATATTCTTGGGATATGGTAAACTTGTGTCAAAATCCCTAATATGACATCTTTAGATTATATGATTCAATTTGATGAAATTGCAAACATTCTTGTTTCAATTTCCATCCAATACTTTGGCCAAATATTCACAAATCATATCTTTAGAGTATTCTCTCTTCTTACTTAAAGCAGAGATTCCTTGTTGTACATTCACCTATCTCTGCGTACACGCTAAGAATTCTGAGGAACACCTTTAAGTCACATCATTTTGATACGACTGTATAGTGCACTCAAAGAGAAACAACATATACCCAAGACAACTGTGATGTCTCAGGTCTAAGGATTAATTTGCATTATCACAACTTAGAATTCTGTGTTTGACACCTTGAGTAAGACTTCCATACAAGAATTCCAGAGTTGATTGCGTTCAATGGGCTCTATCTTCTATCAAGCACCTACACATCTATCTCAGTGTCTCTACACGAATGACTTGAGACTAGTCATCCTCCCAATTGAGCAGACATAATATGTACCAATCTTTGCGGGTCACCATTGTCCAATTGGTGACCTTATGACCAGGAACATTTTAGGATACGATGTCTATATGTATGGAAATGTCTCCTGCATCTAACTTCTTTAGACCACTTTCCATTTATATCTAAATCCATGGACTTGTTACTTTGTGTACATTATGTATCTAAAGCAACGTTCTTGCCCCTTTGATTATTATATATTATTTCCTTAAAATTATCCATTTTATATTGACTTCTAGAGCATATATCTAACAATATATTATTTCCTTAGAATGATCCATTTTATATTGGCTTCTAGGGCATATATCTAACAGCGCCAGCAGACCAACTAAAGAGACCAAACTCTATCAACAGATAAGGAAGTTGACGAGCAACGCTTACGCCAAAAATGTCCTTAGCCAGAACCATAAGCAATAGGAATGATGTGATATCCCGTTCCTAAATTAATATTCAATTCTTAAATTATTTAAGTAAAAGACAATTTTACTCAGAGAGTATTTTAATGGGTATAAAATTAACTTTTTTTTGGGGAAGAATTTGGGATTTGAGTAGCACCGTTGCGTAGAGTGCATCGATATGAGTTTGTAGACACGTAATGAGCTCAAATTGGAGTTTTAACGAAGAAGTTACGATCAACGGAAGTGCAATGGCACAACCGTAAATGTTTTGAAGTTAGATTTTTTAAAAACCAGTCAGCCTTCTCTCTCTCTCTCTCTGGCTACGAAATTGCGGCTTTCGACCGTGATTTCAGTACCGTCTAACCACCAAACGTGATTTCGTAACTTGCAAAATGCTCCTCTCCACCTCCTTTACACGACCTACAAAATAACCAGACCCGATTTCGAGCTGTGAAGTGATTGGAACGAGGGGAAAAATCGCAATTTTTCCGTCACCATTTCCTGCAATTCCGACAAAGGAATTCAATGAGTAAGGTATGCTTCTTCATCCATTTTTCGTGTTCTAGTTGTTTTGATAGTTGGTTGGATCAATTTGGAGTCATGAGTGTTCGATTATAAACCTAGATTTTGTCCAACTTTGGTAGTGTTTTCCAGCCACTTCCTAGCCAAATTGGAGGTCTACCCAGTTATAAAAGTTGCTCCCCTAGTTGCCATGATCACGTAGGCATAGATACTGTTGGGTGATTTGAGAAATTTCTGTCGCTGAAAATTTCTCAAGCCACCCACGAGCTACCGAAGCGTGTGCCAAAGTTGGGTGGCCTATTTGGTCCTAAAATGATCCCTATGACATCCTGAGCACGACAGTATACTTGTATTCTAATTTGGTTATTGTTTGATGGTCGAACATATTTACGCATATTAGGCATAATTCGGGATCAATATATTCAAACTGTCAGATCTTGACGAAACTCATAGGATATGTTTTTTGTGTGAACCTATTAGAACTTTCAGATTATTAAATTGAGGTCGTGGACCCCACGAGGGACTGGGTTGACCAATATAAGAATGTAATTGTATATTTAGTCTCAGGTATTTTCAAACCATTCCAACTATCAGAACTATTGAAAATAGGCCTATGAACTTTCTTAAGTTACGCACACGAACTTTAAGGTCGGAGGTGAGGGTTTTGATTAAATATTTGTGGTTGAGCTATTTTATTAATTAAATGTTTTAATCGCTTAAATAGGTACTCAGGCTCTACCAAACCTGCAGGAAGGACCCTCGAAGGGTCAGGCGAGTTCAAACACACAGTGAGTGGACGTTTGTTTTATAAATGAATTTTATGCTGTAAAAGTTTTATTAATTGATCATGAAATTATTTATGGTTTTTGCTTTCCAAGCATACAATTTGAATTCAAATGTTTTTATAAAATTTTGTTTACGATTAAATGTGAATGGCTTGGAAAGTTGTTTGGGCTTAAATTGGCACGCCCAATCCAAAATCAAAAGCCCAGGTCAATTTTTTGGCAGCCACTAAAAACTACCTTGAGTTTTGGGCCAAAACTCGATACGCCCAGCCCATCTTTATCAGAAAAGCCCGTGGATCAAACATTTGGGTTTTTCACCTATAGGAAACAGAAGCAGAAAAAGCCTCGCAAGCCCCACGTGACTACCTGACTTTGAAAAAGTCAACAATTTCAACTATCACAAGAGAGTTGATGGGGGAGTTAATGAAGGCAAGTCTTAAACAGGAAGATATCTCCAGTCTTTTCAGTCAAAAGAAGATCAAAATCCCTTTCTATATAATTTTGCATCAGGACATGCATCATTTCCAAGGGATAAGCAGACTACATTTTCTAAAGAGATAAGTAGGGAGTATGGAGTTGTTTATCAGGAAAAGCAAACTAACCACCACGGTAGATTGAATTCTTACAAAAAGCAGTTAAAGGTTAAAAAGGGATTAGGTTTTTCTTTCAAAAAACAGAGAAGTGATCACCATAAAGAACTGACTATTGATGGTTTGTCTACCAGAATAGATAAAAATCCCATTTTCTTTGACATTTAAAATAAAAGATTAAAAAATTCCACTCCAGCATTTTCTATAAATATGAGAGAAGATCAACAGATCAAAGGACAACCAAAAAATAAAAAAAAACAAAAACTCAAAATGACCACTTGATCTCAAAAAACCTTCAAAACACTGAAGCAACCAAAGCTCATTGAGCCACAACAAACAAGTCAAGCTAGAATTCAGAGTCTCTAAATTCAGTTCAGTTTCAGAGCAATAGTCATACAAAGCGAGATTTCTTTCGTTACAAATTTGGTTCAGCATAAGCCAAAACAAGCAGAGTTCGGGTTTTACAAATATGAAAACCTCAACAAATTTATGGAGAGTCCTGATCAAGTAGAACAAATACTAAAGTGCAGTTCCAGCTTAGTAATCATCAAATCCAGCCACTTCTGCCCCTTCCAGACTGAAGAGGTTCCAATTCTGCCTGTTGGCTTGAAATAGATTAAAGCTTTGCCAAACTCGAATGTTGGTATTGATTTATAGCTGAAACTTGACAGTTGAAGGTGTTGATGGTCCAATCCAGCACAGATACATCCAATCCAGTCCATATCAAAAGTAGCTATCCATGCAGAAATTGAAGTACAATGCTCTTTGTCCTTTTTAGAGTTGGTCTTTCCCTTTCTGCGTCTTGTAAAAGGCAGTTTTGCCTGAAACAGTTTACTTTCTTGCTATTTATTCTGGCCCGCACTACCAGTTTTGTACTGTGAAAAATTGTGAAGTTCTCACCAGTTTGAGGCAAGAAAAGAACTTACTTGGGAGATATTTCTCACCCAAATTCACAATCACTTGTTTAGAAATTAGTGACTTGGGGCGCAAGTTATCCATTTTTAAAGAAGTCTGTTAGGACTTTTATTGCTAGCAGTGGCATGCTCATACAGAAAAGAAAGTTGACTTGTTGACCAGTAAATGGTTTTCAAGACAATGAGGAATTTTACCCTACCGTCACAGGAAAAAATATAAAATGGGTGAACAATTTGGCACGCCCAGTGGGACTTCTTAGTATACAGACTCCTAGAAAAATCTTCTAGTATATGAATATTGGAAGTTCTAGCCAGAATCCACACTGTGCCATGGAAAGAGATCAAGCAGCTCTTCGAGAAGGACTTGAGTCAGAAGAAAGTGATGATAGGCAATCAACCCATGGCAGTAGCAGGAGTAGACATTCCAGGTATGGTTCAAGAAGGTTAAACCAGATACAGGAGATTGTGTTCCAGCAAGAGGCCACAACCTAAAGGAGCCAAGATACTCTAAACAACATGACAACCATGCTGCAATGGCAAGTCAATAGGTAGTTCACGAAGGACCGTGAGGCTGCTATTGCTAGAATTCCAAACCCAGATGTTGTGGTTCCACAGCTAGACCTTCACCAGGACTGGCATGGTCATACCAAGAGATAGTTGGAATACCAGGACGTGGAGAAATCCAAGCCGGACAGAGGGGATGAGCCTTTCCCATTCAAGAACATGAGGCTTCGGTTTTTCCAGAAGGCCCTGCACCAGTTCAGGTCCCCCAGAACTAGCCAGAACCTTCACTTATTCCATAACTAGTGGTCCCACGTGATCAACCCTTGACACTTCTGCTTGAGCAACTAGCTGTATTGCCCTACAAACCTAGAAGGATGGACCCTAATCCACTCCCTCCACTAGCGAGAGCTAGGAGTGGTAGATGGGGAATCAACCCCTTTGCAAACAATGACAGGAACAGACTAAGGGCAAACTGGAGGAATCATCCAGATTTCGAAGAATAGGAAGAGCATAGAGAGGAAGTTCTACCCATGCCATACATAGTAGAATAAAGGATTGAAAACAACCACCTAGAACAGGGGTGAAATTCACATCATGTCAATGCTTTGAATGACATGGGGGTACTTTAGAGAATGATTAGAGAAATGATGGAACCGGAGGCCAGAAGAGAAGAAAAGCCCACCTATAGAAAGCCATATCCAGCCTATATTGATCAGATACCTCTATCCTTGGGCTTTAAGGTACCGAACTTCACCTTGTTCAATGGCGAGGACACCCATGCTTCATCAGTTGAGCATATAGGCAGATTCTCTGTCCAATGCATAATAGAGAATAACCCTATGTTAAAACTAAGGCTTTTTGGAAATTCTCTCTCTGGACAAGCCTTCACCTGGTATACTAGCTTACTAGCCAATTATGTTCAAACTTGGGAACATATGGAAAATGTCTTCCATGACTACTATTTCAGAATTCAGCCAGAAGTCACCATCAGTGATCTTGCTGCCCTCAAACAGAGTGAAGATGAGCGTGCCCAAAACTTCGTAACCAGGTTCAGAAAGCTCAAAATGAAATGCCGGATCCCTATGGAAGAAAGGCACTTCATTCAAATGGCTCAAACCGCCCTTAAAAACTCTCTAAGGAAGAGATTTGATGAGATGCTGTTTGGAGACCTGGTAGAACTGGCAAACAAAGCATCTAAGTATGAGGAGCTTCTCAGGGAAGAACAACAGAGAAGGAACTCCTCAAAAGGCACATATTACAAAACCCTATCTTCTTCAATGCATCTAGTTGAGGTAGAATCAGAAGAAGGCACAGAAAGCTCGGAGGAAAGAGAAGTTGCAGTGGTAGAAATGGTGAAACTAAAACATCCCATTAGCTGCAAGGCTTTGACAAAGCCACCAAAGGACCAGAAGCTACCACCATTTACAGGAGGGTTTGTTCTAAACAAACCAGCACATAACAAAGTTTATTCCTTCGATTTAACCAAGGTTGACGCTCTATTTGATGAAATGCTACTGCATAAGGCAATAGAGACACCCTATAAGTTGCCCAAGCCAGAGAAACTCAAGGGCAGACAATATTGCAGGTGGCACAACTCTTGGAACCATTCCACCAATAGTTGTGTTGTTTTCAGGGACGTCATATAAGAAGAGATAATAGCAGGAAGGTTGAAACTGGCTGGGAAACCTCCCTCAGTAACAACAGACCCTTTTCCCCAACCTCAAGTCAACATGGTCAACTTAAATTGTCCAGAATAGAAGAGAGGCAAACTAACAGCAAAAGCTAGCCCCAGCATAGGCAGAAGAGCCACGAGAAAGGCTACTCAGAGGCCAAAGACAACCATTTTGACTGGGGTAGTTATGTGCAGCAAATGCAAATGTGAAAGTGAGTTGGAGGTAACTCTAGATAGGCAAAGCCAGCCCACAGCTAGTGTTTTCGATAGGATTGGAACATCATACCAACATGGCCCAATTCTGGCTCCACCTAGAGACATAGTCGGGCCGAAGGACTATCTAAGGCCTGCCCAATGCAATAGAAGAATAACAGAGCATCCAAAGAAGGAAAAACCAGTTAAGATGCCCAGAAATGACAAGCCCTTGGCAACTATCATAGAAGGCAGATGATATTATGTTGGTAGACCAACTTTGGAACTAACATGCAGAACACAAAAGAGGAGAGTTCAAAGGCAATACTGCACCTTCCTCAAGAGTAAGGATGACACATAGGTACTTCCAGAGACCAGTTTCACCAAAAAAAGGAAAAACCTAGAACTAGATCCTCAGACATAATAGACAACATGTCAACCAGAAGAGCTGACAAAGACAGAACCTCCAAGTAAACCTTCCATCCATCCTGTCTCATCCTTAGTCAATCAGCTTGAACCTTCATAGTCATAAGCTCAATCCGGACCTATTCCAGTAAAAGGACAAGAAGATTGAATTGGAGAATATGAAGAGGAGCAGTTGGATTACGAACCATCTACAGATGACCAGAGTGGACTCCTTGAAACAAGTGAACAAGAAGACTGGACAGAAAAATATGGAGAGAAACAGATTGAGTACGGAGGAGAACTAGATGAAGAAACTGAGGCTTTCAGTGCAGAATTAGAGAGCATATTACAAGGTGATCTAGGCATTGACATGTTTATCCTGCTAGAAACGTTCAGGGCAGCAGAAGGACAAGAAAGCACTTTGGAAGGAGACGTGCTCTCCCAGGAAAGTTTTGAGTGCAGATTGGCAGAAGTGGGGGAGGCTGCAGAACAACAAACACCTACTGCCAAAGCAGGCAGAACTGCCATGAAATTAGTCGCAGAACAGCTGTGCTTTTCCGTACCTACTGAAGAAATGGCCAAGATGGGCAGAACAGATAAGGATCTAATTCTAACACGCTTAACAGTCACCAACGTCATTGGGGGCACCACTAAGACTCATGTAATACTAGATGTGGACGTTATAGTAGGAACCAAGAAGCTAAAAATTGCATTTTTTGTGGTAGACACCACTTCTACCACTTACAATGCACTGCTTGGCAGAAACTGGATCCACCAGAGTCTATGTGTTCCTTCCACTCTACACCAGCAGTTGGCCTTTTGTCATGAAGAGGGTTTTATGTAAATTGTGGAGGCCGACCCACGACCCTTTCTGCCATCTGCATTATGTTTTAAGGCCAGATATTATCATGATGACCTTAGTCCTTTCACTTTCTTCAGAGTCAACCAGAACGACCATCCCAATGGTGTCACGGCCGAGAAACTCATTGAAGAAAGTCTGGCTAGTTCTCTAGAGGACTGGAATAGACCTTGCGTTCTCAATCTCCACAGTTATGATGTTTAGCTCAAACCAACAGGAAAAGGATCAAACTGCAATAATCCAATCCATTACAAATAGATTGTTGGTATATTGGGAAGAAAGAAAGCTTTCTATGCATAATCAAACCATTAACATGACAGAATTCATGCACGAGAGTTTAGAAGAACATGAAGGAAATCTGCACCAGCAAAACTGGATGATTCTCTACCATAAGTGGAGGATCCTTTGCAAGAAATAAATTTGGGGACAGAAGAGGACCCTAGACCTACTTTCATCAGCAAGTTGTTAGAAGAACCACTGAAGAATGAAATCAATGCACTTCTGCAAGATTTCAAAGACTGTTTTGCCTGGCATTATCATGAAATGCCTGGACTGGATAGAGGACTAGTGGAGCACAAGTTGCCAATAAAAGGGGGTTACTTACCAGTCAAGCAAGCCAGAAGAAGGATCTCCATAGAGACATAACTAAAAGTCAAAGAAGAAGTGGAGAGACTAGTTAAAGCAGGTTTTATCAGGCCATCCATTTATGCTGATTGGTTGTCCAATATTGTACTAGTACTTAAGAGAAAAACAGGGGCAGTCAAAATATGTGTGGACTACAGAAATCTGAATGAATCATCTCCCAAAGACGAGTATCCAATGCCTATGGCAAATATGCTGGTAGACGGAGCTGCTCGTAACCAAATGCTGTCATTTATGGATGGCAATGCAGGGTACAATCAAATAATGGTGGCAGAAGAAGACATCCACAAGACAGCCTTCATGTGTCCAGGACATATAAGTGCTTTTGAATACACTGTAATGTCTTTCGGCTTGAGAAATGCATGAGCCACTTATTAAAGAGCAATGAATTCCGTTTTCCATGACATGATAGGTCATTCTCTAGAGGTTTATATAGATGATGTGGTGATTAAATCTCGAGAAAAAGGAAATCATGTATCAAATCTAAAAAAGGCATTCCTAAGAATAAGACAACACAAGTTAAAAATGAATCCCAAGAAATGCATTTTTGGAGTTCAAGCTGGCAATTTCTTAGGCTTCTTGGTTCACCAAAGATGAACAGAAATCGACAAAAACAAAGCAAAATCTATCATGGAAGCTTTACCACCTCGGAACAAGAAAGAATTGCAGAGTCTCCTAGGAAAGATCAACTTTCTAAGAAGATTCATATCCAATTCTACAGGAAAAATCCAGCCTTTTTCCTCATTGTTAAGATTGAAGCAGGAACAGACATTTAAGTGGGAAGGACAACATCAGCAGACTTTTGAGGAAATCAAACATTACCTCTCAAATCCACTAGTTCTGTCCCCACCAAAGAGAGGCAGACCTCTCAAGTTATATGTTTCTGCATCAGAAGTATCCATTGGGAGTCTACTAGTTCAAGATAACAAGGAAGGGAAGGAGCAGGCAATTTATTACCTAAGCAGAACTCTGACAAGGGTAGAAAGGAAATATTCTGCAATTGAAAGGCTTTGTTTAGCTTTATACTTTACTGCTATAAAACTCAGACATTACATGCTACCTTTCACCACCTATATCATTGCCAAAACAGGTCTGATCAAATACATGCTAACAAGGCCAATGTTGAGAGGGAAAGTTGGTAAATCGACTCTGGCCCTGTCAGAATTTGCCTTCAAATATGTTCCTCAGAAGTCCATCAAAGGACAAGTTGTTGCAGATTTCTTGGCAGATCATCCGTGAGAAGAAATTGAGAATATGGATTCTATGGACATAACCAATGCAGATCTATTGACCAGAGCTCACATGTGTGTAAATAATCCCATTTATTCAGTCCATTTCACCGCCTGGAAGTTATACTTTGATGGATCTAAAACAGACTTAGTCTCTGGGGCAAGGATTGTTTTAGAGGATCCACTATGAATCAAACACTTTTATTCATTCCAGCTAGATTTCCAGTGCACCAATAATAAGGCAGAATATGAGGCTTTAATTATAGGACTAGAAATGCTCGTGGAATTAGGAATCCAATCTGTTGAAATCCTGGGAGATTCCATGCTTGTACTAAAATAGATTGCTGGAGAATACAAATGTTTGAGCCCCTTTCTAGCTGTCTATCTAGTGGTAGCTAGAAATCTCTTAGCAGAATTCAGGGAAGCCACTTGGGAACATATTCTAAGAGAAAAAAACTTTGTACCTAATGAGATGGCCCAGATAGCAACAGGGATACAAATCCCTGAAAACTGCGTGCAAAGAATCATCAAGGTAGGAAAGAAAAGTCTACCATCTGTCATAACCAGAGGAATGAAAATAGATGTCAATGTTGCCATAATGACTGAAGAAGATTGGAGATTGCCTATAATCAATTATCTGCAGTATCCAACCCTTCCCTCTGAAAAAAGGATTAAAATCATAGCCTTAAACTACCTAATGTGGAATGGAGATTTGGTCCGAAAGAGCAAAGATGAGTTACTTTTGTGGTGCTTAGGGAAAAAAGAGTACATGAAGGTCATGGGAGAAACCCATGAAGGAATCTGTGGAGCTCATCAAGGTGGAAGGAAAATGTGCTGGTTAATTAGAAGGTATGGCTACTTATGGCCAACTATGATAAAAGACTAGATTGAATATTCCAAAGGATGTGAAGCTTGTTAGAGGCATGGACCAATCCAGCAGGCTCTTTCAGTTTCCATGAATCCAGTGGTCAAGCCATGGCCATTCAGAGGATGGGCAATGGATCTTATTGGCAAAATCTATCCAACTAGTAGCAAACAAAACTGTTTTATCATTGTAGCTACAGACTATTTCACCAAATGGGTGGAAGCCAAACCTGTTAAATCTACTACATCTCAAGAGATCATCACCTTTCTAGAAGAACAGATTATATAAAGGTTTGGTATCCTGTTGTTAAAATGTTAACTCGCAATTGTACGGGCCAATTAGTAATATACTTAGATTACCAAATTAGTTAAAATTAGTTATGTACTTAGATTACCAAATTCAAGAAAGTAGGAGGTTAAGTCTAAAATAGAATTTAAAGCAAGAGTGATTGTAATTGTTGAACAAATGAGGCAAAACGAAATTTCAAACAAAAGCAAAGTGAGCAAATGTAACAAAGAGTGTTTTTGTGGGCTGGAAAACAGATTGGGAGACTGGGGCATTCGATTCACCATAACAATTCAATTCTGGGTTATATGGAGTCAAGTGACAAGTCTAATTCGGATTCAAAGATTGATTCTAGCTAAAGTATGATTAGGCCCTGGTGTCTGGTCCTAACCTTGTGTTCCTAATTCCCTAACTTGATCATTTGTTGTCTAACCTAAATTAAGCATTAGGAACCCATTAAGCATAGAAGAACAATTTTAAACAACCAAGCATGTATCTAATCCCTGTTGTCGAATGTCCATACATACTTTTCTTATTCATAGTTCAATTCGAATCAAAGCATGGTGTCTACTCTTGATTCAAACCAAGATAGCTAATATACAAGTTATAATGGTGATCAATCATCCAAACAAGCATATTAACTGATTAGCATAATGAATAAGAACATGAATCATGAATCAAACTTGAAACTCAAAACTTCAACTTATAAACCTAGAATATTCATGTTAGGTTACATTGAAGTCCTAGTTATGAATTTAGCTACTCATAATGGAAATGAAACTTAAACAGAAATGAGAAAACATAATTAATGCAATAAGAGCGGAAAAGCCCATTTCTGAAGTTACTTGTGGTGTCCAAGGCTTCTCCAAGTGCTTCTCCACGTCTAATGCTGCTCCAAGAGCTTCCTCACATCTAGAGTATGGAAACTAAAGAGGTGATTTGGGATGAGTTTGGGTGAGTGGTGATGGCAGAGAAAGAGGAAATTCGTAGGGAAATGGAAGGAAGGCTTGTTGGAGCTGTTTTAGTGATTTGGGACTGAATGGAGTGTTTGGGGAAGGATGGGAGTGTTAGAGGATGGCTGAAGTGAATTTTAGGCTGAATGGAGTGACTCCCCTTTGAATGAGTGTACATCTCTCTATTTATAGAGTGCAATTTCGTGCTCCCCTTTGGCTGGTGAAGCACACCCATTCCTAGCTATTCCCAATTGCCTGAGCTGCCCATTAGGTTCCCATGCTACTTTGTCTCCCATGTGTGGCTGATTTGATGTGTAGCCCATGCCTCTAGGAATGTCAGCTGCCCATCCTTCTGAGTTTCCATGCTATCTTGTCTCCCATGTGTGGCTGATTTGATGTGTATTTTGATGGGCCCACAGATTAGGGTCGATTTAATCAATTGATACATTTGAGTAGTCCATTTTGAAGTTCAGACTCTCATATTTCCAACCACATATTATTTGGGCCAATCCAAGTTAGGAGAAAGACGTTAAGGCCGAAATGAGTTGCTAACTTAGTCTGCTCATTTTTGCACCATTTTGCATATTTTCTTATCCAAAGACACCATTGCTACCTAAGGAACAATGAACTGAATGATAAACAGAAAAAGGATTAAAAGCACAAGTTTGACTCAATAACATAACCAAATCATAAGCTAGAAGGGTACAAAATGATATGCAATTGTGAACTGATCATATCCCAGAGTCAATCACAACTGACAGGGGATCTTATTTCATATATGGGGAAATGCTAGATATGGCAGAAGCATTCAAATTCAAACACCTTCAATCCACTCCTTATTATGCTTAAGCTAATGGACAGGCAGAATCAAGTAACAAGGTGATCATCAGCATTATCAGGAAAATGCTTGAGAAAAATCCAAAGCAATGGCATGAGAAATTATCATAAACTTTTTGGGCATATAGAACTTCAAAGAGAGATGCAACTGGCATGACCCCATATGCTCTAACCTATGGTCATGATGCGACTCTGCCTATGGAAATAGCAGTCAAATCTCTCAGAATTGCTCAGCAACACAATTTGGTTGGAGAAGACTATTCTCAAGCAATGCTACTAGGACTAGAAGGTTTGGATACCAACAAAATTGATACCCTCAACAAACTCTTAGCAGGGAAACAGGCTGTATCAAGGGCCTACAACAAAAGAGTTAAAAACAAGAGTTTTGAAGAGGGAGAAATAGTCTGGAAAGCAGTTCTACCCCCTAGAACACACATAGCTGGTTATGGAAAATGGTCACCCACATGGGAAGGTCCTTTCATAATCAAGAAAGTCCTTGGATTGGGGGCATACAGATTACAGGATCGATATGGAGACATCCATGCAGCACCAATCAATGGTAAATGGTTGAAAAAGTTCTATCCAGCTATGTGGGATTCAGACACAGTCCAAACAGATCCTGCAATTAAAGGGGAACAAGATGGAAATGTTGTTTAAATTTTTGTTTAGAGTTGTGCTCTTGATGTAATTTGTTAAGTATATTTTATTTTCTGCTTTCTTTTATTTTTATCAAAAGAAATTGAAAATACAAAAGTTCCACAGAATTAAATAGCTTTTATTAAATATAGTCATTTTCCATGACTAAGTTTTATCACATTCAGAAAATTAAAATTAAAACCCTAATTTCCTAAGGGTTTCTTGCAAACTGGTCTTCTTAATGGAGAGTTCTTTTTGAAGCAACACCCCCAGGTGGATTGAAGCCTCTACAATTTCCAATGCTGGCCTGTAAGCTGAGACCATGCTCTGCATAAGAAAGGTAGACTTCGTCTTGGAACTCAGTCCACCCCAAGCTTGTTCTGCACCTCCCTACATTCTGCCTGTTGCCTTTGGAGTTCTTCAATTTGCTTCTCCAGCCTGTCAACAGTGGCCTTGGCTTCTTTATAGCCTACAACCATCTGGTCCAGTTCTGCCTTCTGTTTTGCATAATCAGCCAAGTTGGCTTCATGAGTAGCCTTGCATAACTCAGAGGTTTTGAAGGTAGGCCTGAGATCCTCATAGTGATCGTGAAGGTTAAGCACATCTCTGGCCAAGCCAAGGGCTTGGGAGCCATGTTCTGTCTATGAAGCAGGTCCAGGTCCTTCATCAATTTGTCAACAGCCTCTCTATGTTCATCCAATTCCAGCTCAGTGGATTTCCAGATCTTCACCCTCTCCATTACCTCATCCATAGCCTTGGACTTGGCCTTGCCAGGTGTGGAGCTAAGCTTCTCAACTCTGTTCAGCTATGCATCTAAATCCATAGCTTCGAACTCTGCCAATTCTGGATCAGTAAATAAGGCCATGGTTGAGGAACCTGGGAGAGAATGGATGGACATCTACAAAAGAGCTCAAGTCAGTTTCAAGCATAATCAGAATAAAAAAAGAAAGACTAAGACATGATAATACTTATAGCCACAATGGGTGGCTTGAGAGGACTGATCACTACAGCCAGAGTCCCAGCAGTTCTGTTCTCTTCGACCTAGGAAAACAGGAATATCAATTAGCGAAACCGAGACAGAAGAAATTGAAGAAGCTAGGACAGAATTAGGGAAAACGGAAGTTACCTCAGGTATAGGTACAACAATAGAATAGTCTGCCTCCACTTCAGGCTCTGGGGCAGCAACAGAGTGTTCTGCCTCCACATCATCAAATAAGGCTAATTATGAACTTTTGGGTTCTGCCCTCTGAGCCTCTTGGTGTTGTTGACCAAGGCAATGCTTTTTGCTATCACCTCAGCGGGAATCTCCTCCTATAGAAGGACAGAAGTCATAACATAATAACAAACACAAGATGAATCTAACTAAGGAGTTGAAAACAAAAACTCACCTCTTCTTTCACTTCTTTGGTTTTCTCCTGAGCTCCTTCCACAGCCTCAAAAGCCTATCTCAACTCGTCATCAGTCCCCGAGGTAGTTGTAGGAGCTGCTGCAAATTCTGTGGCCACATAGTCCACCACAGTCCTTTTCCTAAGTCTTTTTGACCTAGTAGGAGGAGGAGGGGAACTTTCAGTTGCGAGAACAGAAGATAAAAGTCAGAACAAATAGATTGAACTAAATAGAACAAAATCAGAGGATTCTTTTTACCTGAGTTCTCAGGCTGGACGACACTATCCAGAGCCTGGGCAGTTTCCTTCCTCTTGTTCCCTCTGGCAGAAGGGGTTGCCTCAACACTTTTCTATTATGCCAGAGTCTCATGTGCATCTCCTTCATCTCTAAAAGGGAGTTTCAAATCCCCAGCAGCTATGACAGAAGTAACTGCACAGAGAAGAAATGGTTAAAAGGCAATCCAGCAAGGAAAATATACAATGACAGAATTCAGGGACTTACCAATCACATAGGCAGAATCAGATAAATACTCTTTGTCGAGGAAGGATCTGTTATAGAAAGAACAAATCGTTAGATATTATCACATAGGCAAAATGAGATAAACATAGAAAGAATAAAGGAAAAAGAGGCAGAATTGGGAATCTACCTTCAATGACTTTAGCATTAATGTCCTTAATGGTCTGCACCATGAATCCGTGGGCTTCTTCTCCAGCAAAGACCGTCCAAGAATCCTAGCCATAAAAAAGCACTTTGGTAGCAGTACTTGAGGCAAGCAGACCTTGGAATCTAGCTTTCCACCAAGTATCAAACTCGGCAGAATTGCAGGAATTAGGCTCCCAGGAGGGGGAGAGAGCATCCACACTATTGTTGATCTTGTTCATAGAGCACCTGCAATCCTTGTGCACTTCCAAATCATCTGAGTCTCTCCAGGAAGTGGCTTGATTGCAGCTTCTGTATGATTTGAGTGGAATAAGCTGAGGGCAGCCAAGTTGCCTTGCACAGAAGTTGGGATGATACAGTTCTGCCCCCAAATGATAATTTGGAGGCTTCCCACCTCCAAAGGGCAGGTCTCGGGGCAGAGTCACGCTCAGGAACTTATTCTTGAAATTTGTTCTAGCCGCTTCTTCTTCTAGTTCCTTCTCAAACAGTCTGAACCCAAGTTGGAACCAAGGATAGGTCCATATGATCACCACTTGCCACTGAGCTGCAGATCTCTTAGTACAATGCTTGAAGAACATATGATACTCTTCAATTGAGCGCTTGGGCATTTCTGCTAACATTGATGGGAGTGCCAGAACATGATCTTCAAGTAGAACTATGTCTGGGAACCTTAGTTTTGGAAAATAGACTTGCAGCCAGATCTGGATAATCCAGAATGCGTCAGGAGCAGATAGGTTCAAAGGATTCTCCAAAGTGACAATATGCATGTTCTTTTACAGGTGAGCCAGAACGGCAGGCCCAAGCCCTACATCAGTATAATTGTGTAGTACTTCTGCCAGGTGCTTGTATTCCAGTAGAACTGCTGAGGAACGATTTGGGAAGACAAATTTGTTCAGCCAGTACAGAAGAAACAATATATGTTGTTGATCCTTGTCATCCTCTAAGCTGAATTTCTTCAAGTAGTTAGAAAATGAGCAATTCTAGTTGATTGTGGCAGGAGGGATAGTGAAGGGCTTCGCCAATTTTTCATGGTTCTTCCTTCTATGATAATCACCAACTACATCCACAAGCCTTCCATAGGGCATGAATCCAAAAATTTGAGCCATGTCCAGCAAAGTTGGAGACATCGGACCCAGATGGAAGTCGAAGGTGTTGTTGGCAGAATTCCAGAAGCAAAGGGCAGCAGCCAACAGGTTCTCATCCCTATTCATGGATTATTTGGACAGAAGAATGGTGTCATAAATTCCAGCCCTCTTCCAGTGAGCTCCATATTTTAGAAGGAGCCTGTCAATCCAGTCTACCCACTTCATTGGACTGTTCCTTACTTTGCTGAAAGGAAACGAGTGGCTCAGGTTCTTGCTAACCCAAGTATGACAAGTCAGGGCAAAAAAGCTTTGGAACCATAAAGGGGCTTCAACATCATCCTTGAACAAATTAGCCATTTCAGCAGGAATAGGGCCAAACCAATAAGGGCCCAGAACTAGGGTGTTTTTGAACAGATGAAGGACGTTTTCATCCAGAAGGAAATGGATGGAGTTTTCTTCGTACCTCAATAGCATGATTGTCCACTCCTGCCCCAGTGATATAAGCAAGAGGAACAAAAGAAGAAGAACTCTAGGCACGAGTTTTTTGAGATGACATTTTCAGGATTTGAGCTAAAACAGACGAAACAATTTGAAAGGAATCAAGGACTGATCGCAGGAAAGGGCAAAGGGTTCTGAGGAATTTGAGAAAAATCAAGGTCTGAAGAAGTTAGGTTTCGAATGAACATGAGCTAAGGTTTTTAAATTTCTCAATTTTTAAAGAAGTCTGCTAGGATTTTTATTGCTAGTAGTGGCACGCTCATACAGAAAAGAAAGTTGACTTGTTGACCAGTCAATAGTTTTCAAGACAATGGGGAACTTTACCCTACCATCACTGGAACAAAGATACAATGGGTGAACAAAAGTAGAAAAGAAAATGGTAACAGGATTTAAGGATTGAGTGAGAAATAGTATTATAATTTTCCAAGAAAGGTTTTTAAACTACCATAGATACCCAAAATGTTGCCTTCGAATAAATTGTTGCCTTCGGATATATTGATGTCCATAGACATCCTAGTTGCCTTCAGTTGAGTCAGTGAGTGTTTGACAGTTGCCCACGAGTCCTAGGGATACCCGGACCATGGGGAGCGAGGAATGGGGCTCAGGTTGACCAAGTGTCTCCTGAGTTTTGCGAGGAATGCGGCTCGAGTTAACTTTGTGTTTTCGAGTTCTCCGAGGAGGTGTCACTTATGTGACACTTGAAATTGACGGTATAATGTGGGAAATAAATAGAAAAATCATGGAATTGACGGATTTATTAAGGGTACACCTAGGTGGAAAGGAATTATTATTTTTCAATATTTTCAAATGGTTTTGATGAATTGATTGAATGTATGAACGGTTATATGAATATAAACATGCATGCTTGATTTTTGTACGAATATAGAACATGGATTAAATGAATTTTCAAATGGTTTTAACAGTGGGGTTAGTATGTTAATATTATATTTTACAAACGAGCAGACAGATTTGATGTTGGATTGTGTGTGTTCTCTAACATTGTGCATGCTGAACGCTTGTGGATATAAGAATGACATTTCGTACATGTGTAAATTATTGGGAAATGGGCAATTTATAGGGGAGACGCTGCTGATTTTTCCGCAGAAGTCAAACCTTAAAAGAATTTTTGAGTTTTAGTTTAAAGGGCAATTTGGTCAAGTGTGCCTGGTACTTGCCAGGTGTTGGACACGAATAGGGTTCGACACAGTTTCCAAAGTGAAATTTGGGTCGGGTCCTGTCAACTTGGCATCAGGGCATTAGGTTAAATTCTTATAAACTTCGCACCGTGTGTGCTTTCCTGTATTGATGAATTCTTGTTTCTTGAAACAGAATCATGGGCCCTAAGCGTGGTGGTACTCGTAAGGGGACTCGTCAGTCATCTCGACTTCATGGATAAGATGCCCCTCTTGACCTGAATAATTATCCTATTTCGGGTCTAACACAGGAACTTGTCGAGCAATCAGTTATGGGAGATCCGACACGGGTAGTACCAGTGATGTCCACCTAACCAGTTGACCCTAACTTTCAACAGACCTTAGAATTGTTGACCCAGGCCTTGTCTTGAACTGGGCATACCAGAGATCTATCTTTGACATATGCGGATTAGACCAGAAGAATTGGTGCAGTGGATTTTAATGGTGACGGTGACCTAGCTATAGTAGAAGAGTGGATTGAGAAGATGGAAAGGATCATGGATGTAATGGACGTTTCGCAAGAATGCAGAGTAGTTTTGGCTGCATTCTTCCTTTCTAAGAATGCAAGGTATTGGTGGAAGTCAATAAAAAGACGGTACCAGGATCCATTGGCCATCACATGGCAAGTATTTCAAACTGCTTTTAATGAACAGTTCTACACTCTAGGATATTAGAATATGAAGATGGAGGAGTTCTTACAAGTCGAGTAGCGTAGCATGACAGTATTCGAGTATGAAAAGAAATTCATCGAGTTGCCCATCATTGTGCATCATTGGTGGTAGATGAGAGGAAGAAATGCCAGTTGTTCACTAGGGGTTTGAGGCCAGCCATTCGTGACATCGTGATGGGTCAGCGTTGGTAGATTATGGTGATCTTGGGATGTTTGCTTCTTTTATTGAGAGTAGCTCGATGATGGTACAGGGATGCGGTGATTCCCTTTAGCGTCAGTTCGATTTGGGTGGTCCCAATCAAGGATCATCCAAGAAGGGTAGCTTCAACTCAGGATCTTCTAGCAGTCGGAGTTATGGAGGTTTTTGTGATTGAGCTAGTTCTAGTGAGGGATGTACTCAGAGTGTCAGTTTTGGACCTCGTTCTGGTGATGCTACGGCTAGAGGCTCTAGGAGACAACCACAGACAGTATACAGCGGAAGAATGGGCCTTGTCAGCAGGGTGCATCGGGGAGTTATCATTGTGGGCAGCAGGGGCATTTTCGGAGGGAGTGCCTGATGTTACTACAGGGTAAAGTGATTACTGCTAGGCCAACTCAAAGGAGTGGTCCACAGAGCCGAATTCAGGGCACATCTTAGATTATGGGAGCCTCATCCAACAATGGGGCCCACACTAGTACAACTGGCAAAGGTGGAAATTAGCAGAGGGGACGTGGTGGACATTCCAGAGCAACCAGCAGGATTTATAATATGACTCAATTGGAGGTGCAGGGGTAGCCAGATGTCATCATAGGCATGTTACCAATCTTTGGAATTCCTGAACATGTTTTGATCAACCCCAGGGCTACACATTCCTTTGTTGCACATAGTTTTGCCCATAATGCTGATGTGAGACTCACGGCCTTGCGTGGGGAGCTTGCTATTTCTGTACCCATGGGAGATGTTTTTATGGCTGGTACAGTGTACAAGGATCGTTTGGTTTTAGTATGAGATGTATTCTTGGAGGTGACTTAATCCCTTTGGATATTGTGGATTTAAATGTCATTTTGGGTATGGATTGGTTAGCCAAGCATCATGCTTTGATTGACTGTTTCTAAGGGGAGCATAGAGTTCTTCCATTTTGCCTCATTTCAGCCATGACGGCGAGACGGTTACTTAGAAAGGGATGCTCAAGATACTTGGCTCATCTAGAAGATCATTTTGGATTACCTCCTGAATGGGAGATGGAATTCACTATTGAACTCGTCCTAGGAATAAATCCTATTTTTCAAGCTTCGTATAGAATGACACCAGCTGAATTGAGAGAGTTGAAAACTCAGTTGTAGGAATTGGTGGACAAGGGTTTCATCCAACCCAGTTTTTCTCCTTGGGGTGCACTGGTTTTGTTTGTGTAGAAGAAGATGGCATCATGAGGTTGGGCATTGATTACAGACAATTGAACAAGGTCACAGTGCGGAACCGATATCTATTGTCTCTCATTGACGACTTGTTCGATCAGTTGAAGGGTGCTAAGGTGTTTTCTAAGATTGATTTGAGATCAGGCTACCATCAGTTGCGGATCAAGGTAATGCGCCAACAACATTTATGGATCTCATGAACGGAGTGTTCCGATGTTACCTAGACCGCTTTGTAATTGTATTCTTAGACAATATTCTAGTGTATTTTAAAAGTGAAAAGGCACACATGAAGCACTTGAAAATTGTGTTGAGAACCTTAAGATGGAGACAATTGTATGCAAAGTTCAGCAAGTGTATGTTCTGGCTAGACAGAATTAGTTTCTTGGGGCACGTGATTTCTGCTAAGGGTATCTATGTGGATCCCCAAAAGGTGGAAGCAATGGTAAACTGGCCACGACCAACTAGTGTCACTGAGGTACGAAGTTTTCTTGGGTTGGAGGGTTTCTCTACTACAGCGACACCTCCTCACTCGTTTGACAAGGAAATGAGTTAAGTTTGAATGGACAGATGAGTGTGAAAAAAGCTTCAATGAACTCAAAACCATGTTGACAACAGCTCCAGTATTGGCACTTCCTGATGACGGTGGGGGTTTTGTTGTTTGTAGTGATGCATCAAAACAGGGGTTAGGTTGTGTATTGATGCAACAAGGAAAGGTGATCGCCTATGCTTCTAGACAACTCAAGAAGCATGAATTGAATTATCTTATGCATGATTTGGAGCTTGCTGTAGTGGTGTTCGCCTTAAAGATTTGGTAAATTTTTATTGATCATAAGAGTCTAAAGTCTTTGTTCACCCAGAAGGAATTGAATTTGAGACAGAGGAGATGGTTAGAATTGATAAAGGACTATGACTGCACCATTGAACATCATCCTGGGTGAGCTAATGTTGTGGTTGACGCTCTTAGTAGGAATTCATCTGGATCTTTGGCTCATCTCCGAAGGAAGTATCTTCTATTGTTAGTTGAATTAAGGAAGTCGAGAGTTAGGTTAAGTTTGGATGATCAAGGAGCTTTACTTGCTACTCTCCACGTAAGACCAGTGTTGGTTGAACGAATTATTGAAACCCAAATGCAGGATCCGTTAATTTGCATGTTAAGGTTGGAGGTTGAGAATGGTACAAGAACATATTATTCTGTGAGAAAGGATGGAGCTTTGATGGTGGGAACAAGATTGTATGTTCCTGGGATGAAGCACTAAAGAGGGAAATTCTTGAGGAGGCCCACTATTCAGCCTTCGCCATGCATCCTGGCAGCACAAAAATGTACCGCACCCTAAGAGAGCATTATTGGTGGCCCTTCATGAAGAAGGAAATAGCATAATATGTTAGCAAGTGTTTGATTTGTCAACAAGTCAAGGCAGAACGACAGAAACCATCTGGGTTGCTGCAACCACTTCTGATTCCTGAGGGGAAGTGGGAGCACATTACTATGGACTTTGTGTTCAAGCTTTCTTGAACGCGAGACAATCATGGTGGAGTTTGGGTGATAGTGGATCGACTCAACAAGTTTGCTCATTTCTTACCGGTGAAAGAGACTTATACTTTGAATAAACTTGCCAAAATTTTATTATTGAAATTGTAAGGTTGCATGGGGTACCAGTGTCTATTGTGTCAGACAAAGATCCTCGTTTTACGTCCCATTTTTGGACAAAGTTACATGATACCTTTGGAACCAATTACAATTTTGTACTGCTTTTCATCCGTAAACAAATGGTCAATTGGAAAGAACGATTTAAATCTTGGAAGATATGTTAAGAGCTTGTGCGCTATAGTTTCAGGGAGATTGGGATGATAAACTACCTCTTATGGAGTTTGCCTATAATAATAGCTACCACTCAAGTATCGGGATGTTGCCCTACGATGCTTTGTATGGAAGACAGTGTAGGACTCCAATTTATTGGGATGAAGTAGGTGAGAAGAGATTGGAAGTATCTAAAGATGTTGAGTCTACAAAGGAGAAGGTCAAACTGATCAGAGAAAGACTCAAAGCAGCACAAGACTGACAAAAGAGTTATGCAGACAAAAGAAGGAAGGACCTTCAATTTGAAGGGAGTGACTGGGTGTTTTTGAAATTGTCGCCTTGGAAAGGTGTAGTGAGATTTGGCAAATGGGAAAACTAAGCCCTCGTTACATTGGACCATATGAGATCTTGGAGCGTGTGGGCCTAGTGGCTTATAGAATTGCCTTACCTTTGGAACTTTCTCAGATGCACGATGTCTTTCATGTCTCCACGTTACGGATATATATATTTCATATCCTTCTCATGTTCTGGAGTCGCAACCAATAGAACTAAAGGATGATTTGAGTTAAAGACAATTTTTACCCCGAGAGTGTTTTAATGGGTTTAAAATGGACTTTTGTTTCGAAAATAACTTGGGGATTTGAGTAGCACCGTTGCGTAGAGTGCGTTAATATGAGTTCATAGACACATATTGAGCTCAAATTGGAGTTTTAATGAAGAAGTTAGAATCAACGAAAGTGCAGTGGCACAACCATAAATATTTCGAAGTCAGATTTTTTAAAAGCCAATCAGCCTTCTCTCTCTCTCTTTCTCTCTCTCTCTCTCTCTCTCTCTCTCTCTCTCTCTCTCTCTCTCTCTCTCTCTCTCTCTCTCGGGACAAAACCGCTGCTTTCGACAGCAATTCCGATATCGTCCAGCCACCAAACGCAACACCGTAACTTGCAAAACACTCATCCCCACCTCCTCTACATGACCCACTAAATTTTTAGACCCGATTTCGAGCCGTGAAGCAACTGGAACGAGGGAAAAAATCACGGTTTTTCTATTGCCATTTCCTATGATTCCAGCAACGGAATTCGACAAGTGAGGTATGCTTCTTCATCCATTTTTCGTGCTCTAGCAGTTTTGATAGTTGGTTTGGATCGATTTGGAGCCTTGAGTATTCAATTAGAAACCTAGATTTTGTCTGACTTTAGCAGCGTTTTCCTGCCACTTCCGCCCAAATTGGAGTTTGGTCTAGTTATAAAAGTTGCTCCCCTAGTTGCCCTGATCATGTAGGCATAGATATTGTTGTGAGATTTGAGAAATTTCCATTGCTGGAAATTTCTCAAGCCACCCATGCGCTATCAGCGCGTGTGGCAGCACTTGGACCAAGGTTGGGTGGCACATTTGGTCCTAAAATGATCCCCATGTCATCTCGAGTACGACGGTATGCTCGGATTCGAGTTTGGTTATCGTTTGACAATCGAACGAATTTACGCATATTAGGCATAATTTGAGATCGATATATTCGAACCGTCGGATCTTGACGGAACTCATAGGATATGTTAATTGGATTTTTATGAACCTATATGACTTTTGGATTATTAATCGAAGGTCAGTGGACCCCATGAGGGATCAGGTTGACTAATATAAGAATTTAATCGTATATTTAATCTTGGGTCTTTTCAGACCATTCCAATTGTCAGAATTGTTGAAAATGGGCCTGGGAACTTCTTAAGTTATTCACATGCACTTTAAGGCCGAGGGTCAGGGTTTTGATTAAATATTTGTGGTTGAGCTATTTTATTAATTAAATATTTTAATTGCTTAAATATGTACTCAAGCTCCACGAAACCCGTAAGAAGGACCCTTTAAGGGTTAGGCGAGCTCGGACGCACAGTGAGTGAACGTTTGTTTTATAAATGAATTTTATGCAGTAAAAGTTTTATTAATTGATCATAAATGAATTATTTTGCTTTCCAAGCATACATGTTGAATTTGAATGTTTTTATAAAATTTTATTTACGATTAAATGTGAATGGCTTGGAAAGTATAAAAGGAAATGGTAATAGGATTTAAGGATTGAGTGAGAAATAGTGTTATAATTTTCCAGGAAATGTTTTTAAACCACCATAGGTACCCAAAATGTTGCCTTCATATATATTGATACCCATGAACATCCTAGTTGCCTTCGATTGAGTCAACGCGCTTTGGATAGTTTCCCCATGAGTCCTTGAGATACCGGGACCATGAGGAGAGGGGAATGGGCTCAAGGTAACTTTGTGTTTCCAAGTTCTGCGATGAGGTGTCACTTATGTGACACTTGGAATTGACGGTATAATATGGGAAATAAATAGAAAAATAATGAAATTGATGGATTTATTAAGGGTACACCAAGGTGGACATGAATTATTATTTTTCAATACTTTCAAATGGTTTTGATGAATTGATTGAATGTATGAACAGTTATATAAATATAAATATGCATGCTTGATTTTTGTACGAATATAGAACATGGATTAAATGAATTTTCAAATGGTTTTAACAATGGGGTTAGTATGTTGATATTATATTTTGCAAAACTTTATTTTGTCCACTCATGCTTTTAATGTTTTGCTTCCCCAAGAAGTAATCAAGTACCGGAGCACCACCACTGGGCATTCATCACCCACCACTCATCCACTTCCATTATGTAGGATATCCTGAGGCCACACAAATTTGTTGTTGGATTATGTGTGTTCTCTAACATTGTGCATGCTGAATGTTTGTGGATATAAGAATGACACTTTTTACAGGTGTAAATTATTGGGAAACGAGCAATTTATAAAGGAGACTCTATTGATTTTTCAGCAAAAGTCAAACCTTAAAAGAATTTTTGAGTTTTAGTTTAAAAGGTAATTTGGTCAAGTGTGCCCAGCACCTGCCAAGTGTTAGACATGCATAGGGTTCGACACAGATTCCAAAGTGGAACTTGGGTCGGGTCCTATTGAAAGAAGGATATTGAGAAGCTCATGAATGAGTGATTTCAAAGCCTTAATGTGGGAGGAGGTTCAAAAGATGACATATACCAAGAAGTAGACCTAGTGAACGAAGGGAGGAGGTTCAGAAGATGACATATACCAAGAAGTAGACCTAGTGAACTCCCCATTCACTGACGAGATCAAGAAAGCAATTCCACCAAGGTGGTTCACTTTGTCCACCTTCACCCAATGCAAAGGGGATTCCGATCCCAAGAGCCATCTTAAACACTTTAAGAGTGTCATCATACTTCACAAAAGCGACGAAGCACTGATGTATAAGGTATTTGCTATGACTTTGAGAGGGGCAGCCCAAGATTGGTTTCATACCTTGGCACCTAAGTCGATCCATAGCTTCAAAGAACAATCAATAAGAACCTTGACCATTTGTTCAACTTGCGCAAGAAGCCCGATGAGTCTATCCGAGACTATGTCAAAAGGTTCGAGGCAGAGAAGGTAAACATCGTAGGATGTGATAACCGAATCGCGTCCTTCGCCATCAAGAAAGGCTTGCCAATTGAGCACAACTTATATCATAAGCTAATTATCGCTCCCAGCCAGACTCTAACAGTGGTCTTCGCGACCGCAGAATGCTACGAACTCTAAAATGACAATCAAATCCCCATGAAAAAGTCTGCCAAACAAGCCAATCAACCTAGCAACCAAGCAGGACATAGAAATGATCGGCTCCACAACCAAAACAATGGCAAACACAAGTAGCAATCCCAATGAGGTGCTCTGGTAGATGAGAATTATACCAAGTAGACTATCCAGATACATCAAATATTGGCACAAATGAAAGACAAACTCTAGCAGAGAAGGCTACCACCTCTAAAAAGGGATCCTGATAAGAGAGACACTAAAAAGTATTGTGCATTCCATGGGACGCATGGGAATGAGACAGTCAATTGCCGAGCCTGGAAGATACACCTTGAAGAGATGCTCAAAGAAGGCCACTGCACAGAGTTAGTGGCAAAGAAAGCCATCTAGCAGATTGAGAACCACGACGCAGCCAAGGAACCTCCATAGAAGGTCATAAGAATTAACACCATCTTGGTCGACTCTGAGAAGTCTAGGTTGACTAGCAAAGAGAAAAGGAGAAAGACCAAGCAAGCAACTATGATCACCCAAGTCTTAACCAATTGCCTAGCAATAGAAGATGATCCCGTGATTGGCTTCCAAAAGGACCTGTTCGGACTTGATTTGCCACACAATGATTCCCTGGTCATAAGCATCCAAGTTGCACAAGATGTAGTCAGCCAAATCAATGTAGACAAGGGCAGTGCTGCCAACATATTGCAACTTCCAGTTGAAAATAAGATCAGCAAATCAACCAGATCACTGACCGGCTTCAATGGTGCAACTTCAATTACTATGGGAATAATATATCTATATGTCTATTCTCCTTTGGTGATCAGCTCGCAGACCTTTATGATCATCGACAAAACCTCCCTTTATAATAGCATTTTGAGCAGATCATGGATTGGCAAGATCGATGCCATAATATTTGCTGCACATCAGAAGATACGCTACCCCATTCATGGGGGTGACATTAGGCAGATCAACAGTGATCAAGCAATGTCGAGAAGATGTTCAACCTAAGGGCTGAAGGAAAGCAAGAAAGCCCAGTTCATTCCCGTAAGTCGAGCATACCAGATGGGAAAAAAAAGAAGCTGAGGAGACAGTGGATTTGATTCCCGTAAGTCTAGCCAACCATAAGGGAAAATAAGGAACTACTTCTCAATAGCAATTAAATAACCAGGATCAAGAAGAAGGAGTTCACCCGAAAATCTCTCCCGAAGAGGATGTCGAACTTATAGATCTTGATCCTAACAAGCTAGAAAGAAAAGCGTGAATTTGCTCGTGCCTTAGCAGAGAAGAAAAAGTGGAGCTAACCACCTTTCTCCAGAACAACAAGGATGTGTTTGCATGGTCACTATTTGACATGCCTTGCATGGACCCACAAATCATCTGCCATAGACTCCATGTCAACCCAGCCAGCAAATCAATCAAACAAAAGAGACGCATCTTTGATCCTAAATGAATTACCATCATTGAAGTTTAAATAGACAAACTCCTAGCGGCTAGGTTCGTTGAAGAAGTCTCTTACTTCAAATGGCTAGCTAACGTTGTTATCATGGCAAAGAAAAACCAAGGGAAATGGAGAGTACGTGTAGACTTCATAGACCTGAAGAAAACATGCCCAAAAGAAAACTTCCCACTACTAAGGATTGATTAGCTCATGGATTCAACCTCTGGAAACTAGCTGCTCAGTTTCATAGACTCTTAATCACGCTACAATCAAATTATGATGTACAGGGAAGACAAAGCAAAGACCTCTTTCATAATCGAAAGAGGCACATATTGCTACAAACTCATGCCTTTTGGGCTGAAGAACGTCGGAGCAACTTACTAGAGGCTAGTGAACAAAATTTTTAAGGAGCAGATTGACAAAACCATGGAGGTCTACGTTGATCATTTGCTGGTCAAGGCTCCTCAACGAGCAGATCACATCAAAAATCTTGCCAAAGCCTTCAATCTACTCTGGTCGTCACCCTGCGTCTCCCTTAGGACGCTTTTTGTGGGCAACTGTTTGACTATCCTGTCCCTTTAGGAAACAGATAGAAACCTGGATACTTCCTACAGGAAGCATGGTGACCTCATTTTAAGAAATTCTTGGCGCACCTTGCGTCTCCCTTAGTACGTTGCTTTGCGGGCTGCATCTCCCGAAGTATGCTTCTAGTCATCACCCTACATCTCTCTTAGGACACTTTTTTGCGCAATTGTATGACTATCCTGCCCCTCTTAGGAAACAGATAGGAACCTGGATACTTCCTTTAGGAAATTCATGTGCACCCTACATCTCTCTTAAGACGCTTCTTTGCAAGTTGCGTCTCCCGAATGACGCTTCTAGTTGTCACCCTACATGTCTCGAAGGACGCTGCTTATGGGCAACTGTATTTTTTTTGGACACTCTGGAATGAGAAACTGAACTTTTATTGATGTTCATGAGATTACATCGCTTTATTTGAAATGGAAATAACTAAATAAAGAAATCGAAAATTCCTGCAATTGCTTCTCTTCTTCAGAAATGTGCAGTGCTCAGTCATCTGCTAGGGACTGAGCAGGTAGGAGGAAGCATCATGGATAATATCTTCGGAGGTGGCAGGCATTCCATTGTCGTGGAATCTCCTTCCCGCCCCCAGACTCGCTGATCACGTAAGGGCCTTCCCAATTAGGTTTCATCTTTTTAGACCCTTGTCTTTGTGTAGTGATGAAGATCTTTCTTAGCACAAGGTCGCCTGGATGAAACTGTCTAATCTTGGCTCTTTTGTTGTAGTAAGACTTCAACCGCTATTGATAGGAGGCAACTCGGACAATGGCCTTCTCGTGCTCACATTCAAGTAAGTCAAGGCTTTGCTCAATACTGCCCACTTCAATGCCTATAGAAGGGACAGTGACGTGATGAGGAATGATTGCTTCAGTTCCATAGGCGAGGGAAAACGAGGTTTCACCAGTTGATCTTCACTTGGTGGTGTGATAAGCCCATAGTACTCCAGGGAGCTCATCTACCCATTCTGCTTTGACGCCTTCTAATCTTTTCTTCAGACAATCCAATATTATTTTGTTGGATGCCTCGGCTTGATCGTTGCCCTGAGGATATCTCGGGGTAGATAGATGCTGCTTGATGCCATATTTCTTGAAAAATGCGGTGATCTGCTTGTCGATTAATTGTGAGCCATTGTCGATAACTAGTGATTGTGGGCAGCCAAACCGGTAGATAATGTTTCTCCAAATAAATCGTTCCGCATCGACTTCTTTAGTAAAGGATAGAGGTTCGGCCTCGATCGATTTAGTAAAGTAATCAGTGGCGACAATCATTATTTCTTTCTTGGCAGGTGCCGTTGGCATAGGGCCTACTAAGTCGATGGCCCATTGCATGAAAGGCCACAAACTATTCTGCAGATGGTAGATTTTGGTAGGCAGGTTAGGAACTAATTTGTACCATTAGCAGCGATCACATCTTTTGACATATTCAGTTGAGTCATGGCGCATTGTAGGCCAGAAATAGCCTACGTTTAGAGCTTTATGGGCGAGTGACATGCCCCTAGAGTGGTTGTCATACTCGCCATCGTGAATTTGTATAGGACCCCAAGTGTTTGAGGGTATTTTATACAAGTGAGATGAGGGCCATAGTATTATCTGCGAATGAGCTTGTCGTCTTGCATGTAGTATCTCGCGGCCTTCTACTGGACCTTCCTAGTCTCGGACTTATCTGTTGGCAGATTTTCATTCACTAAGTAGTCGATGATGAGGTCTTGCTAGTTGGGATCTTCATCAATTTGCATTTAGACAATTGACTCTATTTTTTCGATGCTTGGCCAGTCAAGGTGTTCGACTGGGATAGAATGTCTGAACTGGGTGTCCAGTGCTAATCCTAGGCTCGCCAACGCATCTGCATGAGTGTTCTCTGCCGTGGAACTTGTTGGATAATGAAAGTAAAGAATTCTTCAAAAGTCCTTAGACTTTGTCGAGGTACTGGACCATTCTTGGATGTTTTGTCATGTACTCGCCTGAGGCTTGATTCTTGATCAATTGGGAGTCTGAGTAGATGGCCAATCTCATGATCGAAAGTTCTTTTGCTAGGAGTAGTCCTGCGAGCAATGCCTCATATTCTGCCTCATTGTTTGAAGCAGAAAAACCTAATGTGATGGCTTGTTCCAACAAAGTTCCATCTGGGGTGATTATGACGACACTTGCCCCCGCTCCTTTGTGATTTGATGCTCCGTCTACATGCAACTGCCATATGTCATTAGGTAGGTTTGAATCAGTGGGGGAGGTATCGTCTGTTCTTTCCTTGCTTTTTGTGACCATCTTCTCTTCTTCGGTTGTCGAAGTAAACTCTACAACAAAATATGCTAAAGCTTGAGCTTTTATAGCAATCTTCGGTCGTATTGACTGAGTTCGATAGCCCATTTCATGAGTCGCTGAGAAGTGTCGAGGCTATGGAGGATTGATCTCAAAGGAAATTATGTCATGACAATTATCCGGTGTGCTTGATAGTAGGGCCTTAGTTTTCTCGCAGAAACCACAAGCGTAAAAATGAGCTTCTCTATTTTTGGATAGCGAGTCTCTGCATCGAGGAGAGCTTTTGAAGTGTAGAATACTAGATGTTGTGCCCCCAGCTCTTTTCGAATGAGAGCTGAGCTAATAGCTAAGTCGAACACCACCAGGTAGATGTACAAGTCTTCGTCTAGTATCGATTTTGAGAGTAAGGGAGGTGAAGTGAGGTAGGTTTTCAAGTTTTGAAAAGCTACTTCACACTCGTCATCCCACTTGTCTTTGTGTCCTTTCTTCAAGTCCTTAAAAAATAGCCTGCACTTGTTGGTAGATCTTGAGAGGAATCGGTTGAGAGCTGCCGCTCTACCCGTTAGACTTTGTATCTCCTTTATTGTGGCAGGTGACTTCATATTGAGTATAGCCTTGATTTGATTTGGATGTGCCTCAATTCCTCTTTGGGTGACTAAGTATCCTAGGAATCAACCGAACGAGACTCCAAAAGTGAATTTCCTCGAGTTCAACTTCATGTTGTATTTTTGAAGTAGGCTGAATGCTTCAGCAAGGTTCTTGATGTGGTACGCTCTCTCGGGAGCTTTGACTAGCATGTCATCTATGTAGACTTCTATAGTCTTGCCGATTTGCTCCTTGAAAATTTTGTTCACCAGCCTTTGGTAGGTTGCTTTGGCATTCTTTAGCCCAAAGGGCATGACTTTGTAGCAGTATGTACCTCTTTTGATGATGAAGGAGGTTTTTGCCTTGTCATCTTCATGCATTATGATTTGATTGTAGCCGGAGTAGGCATCAATGAAGCTTAGCAGTTGGTTGCCGAAAGTTGAAAGTTGTTTTTAGGACATGCCTTGTTGAGGTCGGTGTAATCGACGCACACTCTCCATAGGCCTTTATCTTTTTTTGCTACTAGAACAACATTCGCTAGCCATCTACGTAGGATACCTCTTCAATGAAACTGGCAACTAGAAGCTTGTTGATCTCGACTTCAATGATGGCAACCCGCTCGGGGGCAAAGTTGCGTCTCTTCTACACTACAGGCTTGATAATTGGGTTGACATGTAGGCGATGGTAGATAATCTGGGGATCAATGCCTGACATTTCGGATGGCGACCATGCAAATATGTCTTTGTTGTTTTGGAGGAAAGCTGCAAACTCTGCCTTTTCCTCCTGGCTTAGGTGCTAGCTATTCGCGCTTTTCTCTCTGGCTTATCAGGATCAAGGGGTACTAACTCGATGTCCTCTTCGGGCTTCCATCATTCTTCAGGAGAGACCTCCGAATAGATTCCCTCGACTTGGTCCTAATTCTTTGATTGCTATTGGAGAGTAGCTATTCCCCTTCCTTTTTGATCTATTCGGCTGTCAGGAATGAAATCTGCTTTCTCCTCTGCTTGTTCTACTCTCTTTTGATCTGCCTAATTCACAAGGAGGAATTGTGTTTGCTTGTCTCTTTTCGGCCCTTAAGTTGAGCACTTCCTCTCCATTGCCTGATCGCTGTTGATCTGGCCGATACCGCCCGCAGGGATTGGGTAGCGAATCTCCTGATGTGTGGCAGAGGTGATAGCGTTGATCTTGCCGATCCATGGTCTACCCAGAATGTCATTGTAGGGTGAGACTTCATCAATGACCATGAACGTTTGCAATCTGATTACAGGTAGGGAGTAGACGTCGAGATCTATCGTGCCCACGGTAACAGTTGTTGCGCCATTAAAACCAGTCAGTGACCTGGCTGATTTATTGATCATTCTCTCTAAGCCCATTTGTTGGATGACTGCCAATTGTAGGATGTTGGCTACACTGCCCTCGTTTGCATGGATTCGGTCAACCATGGCCAAAGCAATTTGAATGTTGATGACAAAGGCATCGTTGTATGGTAGATCAAGACCGATTAGATCTTTCTTTTGGAAGCCGATCACTGGATCATCTTCCGCTAGTGGGAGACTAATGCAGACCTGGGAAATCATGGTGGCCTGTTTGATCTTTCTCTTCTTTTCTTTGTTGGTCAGTCCGGACTCCTCGGAGTCTTCTAGGATTGTGTTAATCCTTATAACCTTCTGGGGTGGCTCCTTGGTAGTATCGCAATCCTCAATCTACTGGATGGCCTATTTTGCGATGAACTCCGTGTAGTGACCTTCTATCACGGGTTCTTTGAGGTGCTCGTGTGTAGCATGGAAAGCATAATATTTTCTATTATCCCTCTTATCCGGAACTCCTTTCAAGGGTGGCGGTCTTTTTACCCAAGATTTATCCTTTACTTGGGCTAAAATTTGATGTATAGGGATGGAGAACTTGGTGTAGTTCTCCTTTGTCGTAGCATCTCCTTATGGGCGTGACCTACATTTGTCTTTGTCCCTGCTCGCTTGGTCGGCCGATCTTCCTACTCAGTGTTTCGCGGTCGCAAAGACCTCTGCCGATGTTGGCCTTTCTGCTTTGAATCTCTTAATGCGATCTCGAAGGGATTCATCGAGCTTGTTGCGCAGGTTGTATAAGTGGTTAGGGTTCTTCTTGATCATCCAGTAAAAAGTGTACTCCTTGGTGAAGACATAAGTAAGCTCCTTGAAGCTGCTGATCGACCTGGATGACAGGGTATGAAACCAGTCCTGAGCTACTCCTCGCAAAGTCATTGCAAACACCTTGCACATTAGCGCATCTTCGGCTTTGTAGAGGATCATAAGGCTCTTGAAATGCTTTAAATGGCTTTCGGGATCGGAATGGCCTTTGAAGCATGTGAAAGAGGGCGTTGAGAATCGTTTCGAGGAAACAGCCTGCTTGATTTCGGCGGTGAAAGGTGAGGAGTTTGCTCAGTCTACCTCAAAGCATAGTGCATCTTCGAAATTTTGGTCAATCTTTAAGTCTTGAAGTCGGTTATTCACAAGCTTCTCAACATCTTCCACACACATGGTTGATCGGTCACGTTGATGACCTTTATGATTTGGGTGAGGCTAATTAACTTCCTCGTTGGTTTGCAAGGGTCGACCTTCTAGGTTGCGCTGCCTAGGCGATGTGTTCGTGGACTACGCCTGCAATGGATTTTCTTCACGTTCCTCATTGTGAGGGTTATCAAGTTGACCTCCCTAGGGGCCTAGCCTTTCGTGAATATTTCTCTGCGAGCGAGCAACAGAGCGTCTTTCTTCACAATCCTCATTGCGATGGTTGTTAGTTTGACCTCCTTGGGAGCCTAGCATTTCATGAACATTTCCCTGCGGGACCAGGTGGGCACGGATGCCAAGTTATGGGCCCAGCTTATCGCGCATGTTGGCCCTCAAATTTAATCTGGATGGGAGACTTTGTCTACTTTGAGTGTGGCTTGCAAATGCTTGCAACATGTCGGCAAGTTGATCGTGTTGTTGTCCATTTCCTTGTCTGCTTACTTTTGCTCGACTTGCTTAGTTCCCATAAAACTGCCTATCGAGGCGTTCGTCCATCCTTCTCTCTTCGCCCTGTTGTCCAAGGCCAAGGTTTTGAGCCAAGTTTATTTGGTTGAGGAGATGCCTCATCAAATTATTTTAGTCATCCATTCTTTGAGTTAGCTGGTCAACTCTTAGATTAAGGTATACTTGACTTCATGGATCGGGAGGAGAGAAATGTGTGGAGCCCAATTGCACACGGGCTAGGGTTTCATTGGAGGTGTATGTGGGAGTGTACGTTGAGCGTGAAGGAAATGAAGGGAATGTTTGAAGTTGCCCCAAGATTGGGCCAAAGTCGGTGGTGGTAGTGAGCCCACCTTGATGGGAGGTTCCACCATGCTCGGCGGCGGTGCTATGAAGGTGGCTAGATCAGGCCATGGGGCCTTGAGATGGTACGACGACGGCAGAGGCCAGTGCAGTGGTTCCAGCTGCGAGTCTGGCAAGTGGCATGGTGGTTCCAGTCACACAGGGTGGCTACTGTGGTGCGGTAGCAAAGGTTTGTTGCGGGTTCATGGTGGCGAGAGGCAGTGGAGCCGCCATGTCGATCGTGGGAGGAGTAGCTTTGGGCCGTCACGGATTGAGCCATCACGGTGGTTTTGCTCCTCATGTGCTTGCTTCCAACCATGGTTGTTTGGAAGGCTTCGGTGGATTGGAAAATAAGAGGAACGGATTCCTTGAGCACGCGTTGAGTATAACTCGTGCTCTCAATGAAAGCACCAAATGTTTGTGCAAATAATCTCGTGGGAGAATATTCGCTTCTAGATCCTTCAACCTTCGATCTTCCTTCTCTCTCTTCCTCAATTCCTGTAAAAAAGACCAGAGTAAATAGACCACACCCGGGGGGGTATTGGCCAAAGGCCCTCCGATGCCTAAGTTAGTTCAAATGTTTGTAGGAAAACAATAGCTAAATAAAGGGTACGGAGTTGTATGTATGGTGTGAACCAAGCGGCCAGAGCCGTGTGGAGAAAATATGGAGAATGGAGAGTGGAGAGGGAGAGAGAGCTTCGGGTATTTTTCTCGGGTATTAGGAGTAGATTTAGATGTATCTTGAATGATGAATGAAGTCGTCTATTTATAGGAGCCTCAAGGCTATGGTTTCGTAGACACTACTACAAAAAAGGAAAAAGATGACGGGAATTCACCGTCGTGTATTCGGTTTTCAAACCATCATGGAATCGACCGACATCTATTTGGGTGTCAAACCACGACGCTAAATCACCGTCGTTGTTAAAACAAACAACGTCATTAACAAATAATAACCGACGTCCTTGTAATGGAAAAAGAGATTAAAAAAACAGTCGAGGATGAGAATAGACGACCAATTCTAACAAAAAACGTCGTTAAAAAGGAAACATATGACATATATTAACAGAACATGGCCGCAAGATATACATACAACGACGAGAACTAAAACTCACCGCCGTTAAATATACCTTTCACGACAAATAAAAATATGACGTCTTTAAATACATAATCGACGACGTTATTGACTCCTACTACGTCAGTACATTTTCAACAACCGTCATGAAATGAATTTTCCACTTCGATTTTTTTATTAATGATGACGTGGAAATAGATGTTAGGGTCATTACTTACGACGCATGTATTTAAACTGACGACGTTGTACTAATAAATAACATCGGTTCCAAATAATTGAGAGCCGTATTACAGAATTTATACATCATCTCTTAAAATATAATCGTTGTCTAATGGATATGAGACGGCAACGTTTCTCAGTCCATCGTCGTGTAAAATAGTTTTAACGACACGATCTTAAAATAAACGACATGGAAAATATGTTGGGGTCATTACTTACGACACATTAATTTATAAAGACGACGTTGTCGTCAATATACAACGTCGTAATCATGCAAAAGATAGCCGTGTTTCATAATTTATACGTCATCATTAAAAAAATTACCGTCGTCTAATTCCTATTAGACGGCGTTGTTAATCCGATATTTGCCGTGTAAAGAAATTTTAACGACATTATCATAAGAAAAGAGACGTGGATACATTCATGTAACGTTGTTTTTGTAAAGGAACGACGTCCAAATATATCTTAACGTCGACAAATTTACCAATGGATTTAAAATACCATCGTGAATTCATCCTTTTCCACTTCGTTTATGAAATAATATGCGACGTGGTAAAGTTAAGACGACATCAACTTTTGTAACGTTCAGGTTAGATATCTCGTCTTTTAGATGTCGGTATTATGGGATTAGAGTCGTGTTATTTGGAATTACATGGCGGCTCTTTATGCTTCTCCGACGTGATATCCTTAATAACTGTTTCACAATAGCGTTGTGGTTCTTATTTGTTACGTTGCTTTAAGACGTCGGTAAATATATTGCGGTCATTGAATGCTCCAAAACGTCGTTTTTTATTAGAACAGACGTTTATTTTTCACATTTTTATCAAGACCGTCGTGTTTGTAATCTTGAACCAGTATTTTTTGTACTGATTGTTTTGTGGCCAAAACCTGTATAATGAAAGTGAATAAATCACATTACAATATATTACAAAATTAATGTCATACACTGCCAATTACATAAGCATCATTCAATCCATATATCTTCACACCCATCTCGAATATTTTGACTCACAAACTCACCCACTAGTTCATCAAATGTGTCAACATTTGGCATCCCTCTAGTAAATGGCTCACACTCAATTCTCACATCACCTAAGACATCATCATCACCAATAACATCATTATATTCTCTATTAGGCATTGATAACACTACCGACCAACCACGATGTATCGGGTCGTCAACAAAAAATACTTGTTTGACTTGAGAAGCCAAAACAAATTGGTCATTTCTATGTCCAATTTTACTCAAATCTACAAGGGTAAATCCAAGTTCGTCGACTACAAGACCAGAAGTACTATCTATCCAATCACACCTAAAGACTGGGATTGTAAACTTTTGGTAGTCAAGGTCCCAAATTTCTTGAATGACACCATAGAAACCCATATTTGAGAGAATTGGGTTTTTATCCTTGGCACTAGCAAGTTGCATGGTATGTGCAAGTAAATAAACTCCACTATTTTGGTTGTCCACACATCATCTTGTGCCTTGATGTTAAATTTAATACCTTTAATAAGATAGCTCCTATATGATGGCACTGCCATGTTTGGACCAGCTGCTAGCCACCTTAAATTTTCTGATACGCCATGATTGTCTTCCTCATTAAGTTCACTTTGAACCTGCAAATTAATCATATCTTAATTCAATCTAACATAGAAAGAAGAAAATTAAAAGTCAAATTTGTTATTCAATAACATAAACCTTGAAGCGTAGCCATTGAATGAAAGTGCTATTGTGCTTATCCTGCAGTCACTTTGTTCTCTTTCTAAATTTTGGATAAGCGGTCTTGATGTGGATCATATGTTGCCTACATAACACGAAAAATTCAAGCATTACGGTCCCAAACATATAAGATAAACATAAGAAATAATTTAAAATGGAAACTTAAAGAATAAAACTCATACGTACTCGATATAAGGTAGGACTTCCTCTGTATTCTCCAAGACATATAGATGTGTTTGGTTCAACAGGTCCCGATCAACTACGCTCACTGTGAAACCTGATAATGGCTTTGAAACTCCCATCTTTTGGCTTGAAGGCACTCCAACTGTACTAACATCAGATAAATGCTCGGTACCAAACTCTACAGCTTCTTTAGCTATATACCGCTCAGCAATGCAACCTTCGCGACGAGTACGATTCTGAACATACCCCTTTAGCCCTTTCATATATCTTTCAAACAGATACATCCATCTAAAATATACTGGCCCACATAGACGAACTTCTCTGACAAGATGTACTACTAGATGAATCATGATATCAAAGAATGAAGGAGGAAAGTACTTCTCAAGCAAACACAAAGTAACTACTACATCTTCTTCCAACTTATCTAGCTTGGAAACATCAACAGTCTTTGCATATATAGCATTGAAGAAGAAGCACAAACGAGTTATTGCATACCTTGCAGGCTTCTCCAAAACAGAACGAATTGCCACAAGGAGCAATTGTTGCATTAAGGTATGACAATCATGTGATTTAAGGCCAAGAAGTCTTGAATCTTGTAAAGATACAAGATTTTTATATTTGAAGAGTAACCTTCAGGGACCTTCATACCATAGAAAGAATTGCAAATGTAAGGCCAAGATGATTGAAGGCCAAGATGATTGATTGGTAACTATTTTCTATGCCCAATGTAACAAATTTTGTGGCCATTTTTCAACCTGTGACTAGGTGTATCATCGCCGCATATTGGACAAGCTTTATATCCTTTAACAACACAACCAGATAAGTTTCCATAGGTAGGGAAATCATTAATTGTCCACATTAATGCAGCTCTGAGTGTAAAATATTCTCCATTATGTGCATCATATAATCCTCTAATCCCATCCCAAAAAGATTTTAAATCATCAATCAAAGGCTCCAAGTAGACGTCTATATCATTTCCGGATTGTTTTGGACCGGAAATCGATAAGGTCAACATCATGAACTTTCGTTTCATGCACAGCCATAGAGGGAGATTATATGTAACTAAGATAACTGGCCAGCAACTATATCTGCTACTTAGAGAACTATGGGGATTGAATCCATCAGATGAAAGAGCCAATCTCAAGTTTCTCGGCTCATTACCAAACTCAGGCCATTTATCATCAAGAAGTTTCCAAGACGGGGAATCCACCGGATGAGACATCTAACGTCAATTGATTTTCTAGCAGCATGCCAAGTCAAACTCTTAGCTGTCTCATGTGATCGAAACATCCTTTTAAACCTTGGAATTGGAGGAAAATACCACACCACCTTCGCTGGCACACCCTCTTTCAAGATTGAATCTTTGCCTTCCTTCCACCTTGAGATACCACAAGTAGGACAATTAGTTGAATCTTCATACTCCTTCCTATACAAGATGCAATCATTGGGGCATGCATGCATTTTCTCATAACTCAGCCCCAATGCACACAAAGTCTTTTTTGCCTCATACATAGAGGCCGGTATTGTATTTCCTTATGGAAGCAAATCGCCTTGAAGTATCAATAATTCTGTAAAACAGACATCACTCATCCCATGTTTTGCCTTCAAATTATACAACTTCACTAATGCTGATAACTTCGTGTACTTTCTACAACCAGGGTACAATGGTTGATCTCCATCCCCAATCACATTGGCAAACTCATAAGGATTGGATCCAAAATCACCAAAATCATTATCATCCATCTCTATTTCTTCATACACAAAACTGTACCTACTATGGTCATCATCTTCTTCAACATTTCTACTAGCATTAGTAGTTGCTTCCCAAGGTTCTCTGTGAAATGTCCAATTCTTATAACTTTGGTCAACTCTATTAAAATATAAGTGATCCCTTATAATTCCAACCCCAAACAATTTCAAATTAACACATTTAACACATGGACAATGGATATGTGTTGTAGTTAGAAGATTTTCTACAGAAAAGTTCAAAAATGCTTCCACCCCTAACTCATATGCCTTCGATCTTCTATCCGAGTGCATCCCTGACTTATCCATCTCCGACACTATACCCTATTATCTATAATAAAGTGAAAAGACAAGCAATGACCATCACTATAGCAGATTATATAAAGTTTTAATAGCAAGTAATATACTACATAGACGACGGTTTTTAAACAAAACAGACGTATTTGACATATATAGACGACAGTTTATCAACAAACGTCGTCTAATTATAACCACGACGACAGATAAAGAACACCGTCGTGTATAAGTAATATAGACGACGGTTTATTAAAAAACCATCGTCGTATGCCTAAAAATGCGTCGATATCCCAGTTTATTTTCAAGAACCCAAAACCCTATTAAGAACACAACATATACATTAATTTTTATGTTGGGTATTAAGCATGAAACAACATATACTAAGCATGAAAACAATAAATCCATTCCCGATTCAACATAACAGAGAGTGATTAAAAGATCCGACAAAATTAAATTCATTTCCTATTCAACATAACATAGAGTGATCATGAAAACATTAAACAGAAAATCCTTGAACCCATACCTCCAACAACATTATTAAAAGATCGCACAACATATATCTAAAACCCTTTAACAAAACAACCTAATATCATTCAATGAATTTATAAAGGGTTTGTACTTACAGGTTGGCAGAGCTCACAGATTATGGCCTACTTGGATTTGACGGAGCCTTGAGACCCCAACTTTGAATTAGAGATTAAGTGAGAGAGCGAAATGTTATGTTGCTCGAAATCTGAAAATTTTAGGGTTCAGGGTTACAAGTATAAGACTTAGAGCGAAATCTGAAAATTTTAGGTCGCGTGAAATTTTTTTGGAAAGCGCGCTCTTTAAAACATCGAAGAAAAAAACAACCGTCGTTAAAATTTCACTTTAAACATAACGCTTATTACATTAAAGACGTCGTGTTAAAACTATGTACGAAGCAAAATCAAACAGAAGTCGTCAAAACTAAGAGAAACCATGGCCAAAGTTTTACCAAAACCGACATAAATTCATTATTCCATGACTCAAACACTGAACTTAATGCCGTTTATTTTAAAGAAACCACGTCGTCTGTTGAACCAATAGAGTCGTTTGAATAACTTTTTACGTTTTTTTTTAAATCGATGACGTTGTTATTCATGTACAACGTCATTTTAAAGGAACATAAACATCGTCGTCAAAAAAATAAACATCGACTGAAAACATAAATACCGTCGTTAAAAAATAATACCCTAAACCCTAAATTATATATTACTAAAATATAATTTTATAAAAGGGTTTATGGTTTTACAGCCTAATATATAACGTCTTTTAAACCGTAAACCTCAAAAATTATCCTTTAATCCTAAACCCTAAACCATCAAACTATAAGTGATGTTACTCATCAAAACAATTTATTTTTGGGTGGTCATTTTAAATTTGTATTACTCAAACTGAATTTTTTAAGGTTTAGGGGGAAGAAATATATCAATGACTTCATAGGAGTTGACGTTTCATTTTTTGGATTTATTTTAAATTTATTTTGAATTAAAAATAATAAAATATTCTTATATCAACAACAAACCACGTCGGGGTTAAGAAATTAAAGACGTTGTAAGTCATAATAAACGACTTACTTGTAAAAAGGATGTCGTTTAAAAGAGAAATCATGGCGGATGTTTCACCATCCAACGTAAACTCAATATTCCACGACTCAATCACCGTCGTTAAAAAGTAATACCCTAAACCCTAAATTATATATTTTTAAAATATAATTTTATAAAAGGGTTTATGGTTTTACACCATAATATATAACAAACATAAACCCTAAACCCCAAAAATTATCCTTTAATCCTAAACCCTAATAAATAACAACCCTAAACCCTAAACCATCAAATTATAAGTGATGTTATGACTCATCAAAACAATTTATTTTTGGGTGGTCATTTTAAATTTGTATTACTCAAACTGAAATTTTTTTTAGGTTTAGGGGGAAGAAAATATATCAATGACTTCATAGGAGTTGACGTTGCATTTTTTTTATCTATTTTATATTTATTATGAATATTTTGAATGAAATAGAATAAAATATTCCTACAAACACAACAAACCACGTCCACTTTAAGAAAGTAATGACGTTGTAAATATAATAAATGACTTACTTGTTGAAAGGACGTCGTTTAAAAGTGAAACCATGACGAAATTTTCACTAAAACGACGTCTCATCGACGTACAAGCGTTATATCACGACTTAAACAAAAAAGGTGTCGCCGTGTAATTTAATTACCACGTCATCCTGTCGTCTAAATATCCTTTTACGTCGGATTTGTTTCAAACGATGACATTGTTTCCAACACCAGAAGACGACGGTTTTTGACATATGGTTTTTGACATAATTATGTCGTTGGAAAGTTATTACACGTCGGTTACGCAATTTGTTTTTGTTTTTTTTAAATTAAGAAAACCTCAACAAATTTTCAAGGAAAAAACGGATGTATATTATAGACAAAATTTGTACATTATATATTATAGAAAAAATTTGTACATTATATAAAAATATCAAGTGTTCTAAAAATCCTCTAGTCCACATGAAGGCAAACAAACTCTGCCCATTCATTCCTGACTTCATCAATAGCTGCTTGGGGGTACGGCACTTGCTCTTTTCCCTTGGCAAACTGCAATCCATAAATAATGATTATTAAGTTTTATAAATAATAAGAAATTCAATCACAGACAACGTTATTTTCATAACCGACATAGTATATCGATGCAACGATTATAATTTTAAAGGACTGTCGTTGATAATACAAAAAACCACGTAAAATGTATCTGAAACAGAAACGACGTATTATACAATTTCACACGACGCAATGAAATAGAAATCGACGTTATCATTAATTTATCACGACGGTACATAACTAACGACGTGGTTAGTAGTTTCAAATGACGCAATAAATAAACCACCGATGTCTTATGCTATAATGATTTTTTTTTAAACACAAATTTGAGTGTGAAATAAATATTTGATAAGGACAAACCTCATATATACTGCAAGCACAGTAGCCCCAATTTCTTCCATGCCTGCTAACTGTGTAATATCTTCAAGCAAGACAAAGGTACTGCAATCTGCACCAAACACCTCCTTCTCAATTGTAAAGTTCATGATCTTCTCCTGAGGCTTTAGTGTGGTTTCCACATAACGACAAAGGGATTGTAAGGAAGATGGCACCTCCACCTTTGAATAATCAACTACTTCAATACCCTGTTTAAAGAAATAAAGCAAAATAAAATGACGTGGTAATTCAATAAACACGATGGTTTAAAGAAAACAACGTCGTCTGATAATAATTTAAACGACGGTAACAAAACACCGTTGTGTTGAATAATTTATTACGTCATAGGAAACAAATTCCGACGTCTAATTTGAAAACAAACGACGGTTTAAAGAAACTATCGACGTCTGAAATTTGAAAAACAAATCAAAAAGGAAAAGTTATGAGAATATACCTTTTCATCATGCTTTTCTTCATCTTCTTTTTTTTCTTTCTTCTCTTCATCTTGTTTTTCTTCTTTCTTCTCTTCATCTTTTTTTTCTTCTTTCTTCTCTTCATCTTGATTTTCTAAATCCCCAGATTTCTGTTTTAAGTAATAAAGAAATATATATATATATATATATAAGACAGATTGTACAGAAAGTAAAAAAATTAAATCAAAACGTCGTGGTAAGGCATAACATAAGACGGTATGTAAAAATTATAGACGTCTTAAAATTATTAAACGATGGTAAATAATAAACGTCGTGGGGATTTATATATTATGTCGGTAAGGACTAAAACCGTCGTCTAAATCACCACAAAAGTTTTCAAAAATAACGACGTCTAATGGCGTGTAAAACAAGTAACTAAATACGACGTGGTATTGAAATCCAAACGACGGTTTATTAATAAAATCGTCGTGGTATGTATTTCAAACGACGGTTTGCTTCATAATAACGACGTCTAATAGCTTTTTAAAAAAAATAGAGAATTCAAAGTTCAGATATGTTACCATTTCTTCCTGCTTTTCCCCATTTTTGGCAGTATCATCCTCAAAATGTAGGGATCTCACATCCCCAGAGCAGCTTGCTTTGTCAGACATTGGATTTTTGGGACTTTGCTCTAGACCTTAGTTTTAACAGGGGCTAGTTTTCGGTTTAAGCATGCTTGGATCAAAATTGGGGATGAGTTGGGAAAGTTGACTCAGTAAATGTTCCCTCTCAGCCTCTACCAATTGCTTGGTTCTAGCCTCCATCCTTAAAGTCTCTTCCCTTGATCTAGCTTCCATCTTCTTAGTCTCTTCTTGAAGGACAATTCTTACACTTTCCTTTAATTGATCGGCAAACTTTACCCTCTGTTGTCTAGGTAAATTGAAGTATTGCCTAGGGGAAATCCCAGCACCTACCCCTCTTACTCTCCCTAGATGCTCGGGACCCAAAGCCAAGGTCAACACAACATTACTGCCAGATACACTGAGACTGCCTTCAGCGACTTGTTTTTGCAATTCATCCTAAAACAAAGATATATAAAAAATTCAGCACAAGAAAACACACGACAGTTATTTATAAACAAACGACGTATTATATAATTTCACACGACGCAGTAACATAGAAATCAACGTTATCATATATTTATCACGACGTTACTTAAAGAGTGATGTGGTTAGTTGTTTCAAACGACGCAATAAATAAACCACCTACGTCTTACGCTATAATTACAAAAAACAGAGTAGCGATTCCAAATTCAGACCTGTAACGACGTTTTTAAAACATCTCGACGTAGTAATATATTCAAACGACGCAATAAATAAAACACCGACGTCTTATGCTATAATTACAAAGACAGAGTAGCGATTCCAAATTCAGACCTGTAACGACGTTTTTTAAAATATATCGATGTAGTAATATCATTCACACGACGCAAAATATAACATAAGACGTAATAAGAATTATCAGGGCAATACAGAGTTTAATAAAAATTTAAAATAGAGTGAGTAGGCTTACAATTAATTTTGCTTTCTCTACCACCTTTGGATTAGGGATGTTACCATCTTTGTCTTGTCTAGCTTTCTTCCATAAGGTAGATCGATCAATTTCTACCCCAGGCATGGTTTCCTCCAATTGATCCTCCAAACCAGCATATCCTTTTCGAGACAATCGATGATTGTACTCAAGTTTTCTCCCATAATCTTTGAATGTTGAGAATGCACAGACACAAATTCTTGGGATAACCTTGAAGCCACAAAGGCATCCCATTCTGCTTTCTCTATGAATTTATATAGTTCAGGGGGTTGGCTTAATTTCTCCCTCTCCTTGATGTATGGAAGGATATAATGCCTCGTTAGTGTAGACTTGAAATCCTTCCATTTCTTGATAGCAGAAGATAACACCAGGTTCTTGCCCCCTTGACCTACCACAAAAGCCATGTCAACGGCTTCCCAAATCTACTCCTTTATATCCTTGGGGATTTCAGCCCATTTCTTGTCCATAAGTGGGACTCTGGAGCGTGCCAACACACCAATGTAAGACTGCATCTCAGTATGTGCAGGGCCACATCCTTTCCCCCTTTTATTGTACTCAACAACTGGCTTGATTTTCTAAAATTTTCTCTTCACAACACGAGGCATTGTGCTCATACCTCGACCTGACTTTGAATCCTCAGAAATTGTTGTCATGCTGGCTGGTTCTGTCTCAACAGATGAAACAAACTTCATCTTCTTCAAGGACTTGTCTTGAGGAGTTACCATTCCAAGCTCCTTACCTCCATTTTTTTTCGAGCCAGAGTCCTTACTTTGGTCTTGAGAAACCATGGTTACAGACAAATCAAACCTGCAAGTGAAAATATTTCAAGAAAAAATTAAGAACACAAACGACGGTTATTCATAAAACACGACGTATGATAAGATTTTACACGACGCAATAACATAACATCAGACGTAATAAATGTTTAAAACGATGGTACTTAAACAACAACAAAACAATATAAAAGAAGACGTAATAAGAACTTATTACGGCGATATTTACACTCCGTCGTGATATTTAAATTCAAACGACGTTAATATTAAAATAACGTCGTGGTATTAAAATTAACACGACGTGAATAATAAGATACCGTCGTCTATATAAGATTCCAAACCCTTCTTTCTTTGTCTGTGAATGTTTGATTGCAGGTTTGATTTCTCTAAACCATGGTTTTTGTTTTTCCTAATTTGATAAAATACAAAGACAAAGAAAGAAGGTTTTGAATCTTATATAGACGACAGTATCTTAGTATAACGTCGTGGTATTAACATTCACACGACGTGAATAATAAGATACCGTCGTCTATATAAGATCCCAAACCCTACTTTCTTTTTCTTTGTATTTTATCAAATTAGGAAAAACAAAAACCATGGTTCAGAGAAATCAAACCTGCAATCAAACAAGCAAATAAAAAAACGACAGTCATTTTAAAAACAACTTAGATCAATTTTCAGACGACGCTAGGACGACTGACGAACCGTCGTGGTCTACATATTTAACCATGTAAATAAGAAGCTACCGTCGTCTTATTTAGTTGAAGTAGTTGTGTTCAAAGTTGGGAAATTTCCCTCTTTGTCTATATATTTTATCAAACTTGGAAAGAATTAAAATGATTTTGGCCAGAAAAAAGGTAAAAAGATTTTCAAAACAAAAACCGTATGAGCATGCAAAACAGCAACAAAAATAGTGAGAAATGAAAGCTTACCTTTTGCGTGCAATGAAAGCTTCCTCTCGGAGTTTTGTGTTTAAGTGACGAAGACGAGAGAAGACGATGAGATACACTGACAGTTCTCTGACAAGGAAAAAAGACGAAAGGTTTTCTCTTGGAGATTGAAATTTTTTATCGAGTTTGGAAACAGTGCATGTGTAAGTCAAGTAGACGAAAAGTTGAATATATACACAAACCGTTTCATAAAAATAAGACGACGGTTTACAAAGAACGACGATGTGTAAATAAAAAACTACGATGATAATTTGAACTTAGGACATGGTAAATAAATACGACAGTAGTGTTGTAGGTACCGTAGTAGTAAACTCCAAAATAAAAGTCGATAAATTAATATCTCGCGTCATGGTACAAGGATTTAACACGTCGTTTTTTTTAATATACCGACGTGGATTTTTATAATATACGACGTATATTAAATAATAACCGACGTTGATTTTACAATTAAACGGCGGTTTGTGTGTAATGACCACCGTGGGTTTTAAAAATTTATTGTATAAATTTGTCACTTTCTTTCAGTTTCAGTTTTCATTTAGGGTTCCAAGTTCTTCCTCTATCACCTCTCAAAGACAATAATTTGGGTGTCTTTCTCAAAGAGAAATGGAGCTTACTCTCCAACAAATCTATGTCCACAAGAAGAAGCTTGTCATCTAGCCTTCTCACTTCCGTGATCAGGCCTGATAGGAGACTTAGTGCTTTTGAATACTCCTTGCTTTCCATCAAAAGAGATGCAAGCCTGGCCTCCACTCGCTGTCGAAGGAAAGTTCGCTTCTCAGCACTAGTCCACTGCGCCATTTCTTTGCAAAGGGAAATCTGAAGATCAGATGTGCCTAATCCTCTGCTCGATTTTCTTGGCTAAGAAGATCCGTCATATTTGTGATAGCTTGTTCCTTTATCTGTAGAGCTTCAGAAGAAGAAGATGGGTTTTCAAGAATGCGATAAAGAATAGAAATGGCTTCAGATGGCCTCTAAAGCCTGAGCAATCGAATTTGTAAAGACATTGTCAATGCTTTCAACTATCCAAGTCCTACAGAAAGAGAATAGACCAAACTATTAAAATTGAAACAAGGACGATTTTTTGTTCTACCGTCGTCTTTTTTGTCGTCATAGTATATTAAAGTAAGATGGCGGTAGGTTTATAATTACCGACGTAGATTATTTTTGTTAAACGTCACTAAGTGTAATATAATCGACGTGGATTTTATTTTTTAATTATAAATAGAGTTTTTTTTCCCGAGTTCTTTCAGTTTTAGTTTTCAATTACAGTGCGCTATAAATAGAGTTTTTTTTCCCGATGAAATTTAAAATGACGGAAATTAATGTTCTAGAATTTATAAAGTTTCTTGTTTGGAAGACTGATTTAAATCAAATATGAATATAAAAACAACGACGGTTTTTTGTTCTACCGTCGTCTTTTTTCACTAAGACGACGCAATATTTGTTTCGCGACATGGATTCGTTTTGTTAAACGTCGTTAGGTGTAATTTAACCGATGTGGATTTGATTTTTTTTAATTATACATATAGTTTTTTTTCACGAATTCTTTCAGTTTTAGTTTTCAATTAGGGTTTCAACTTCTTGCCCTTTTCTCTGTCTCACCTCACCTCTTAGGAGGCAATTGTTTGGATGTTGGTGTTTGTGTATGTTTTGTGTATCTGATTTGCAAACATACACACATCACCAATTTTCAAAAAATTGTCTATCTAATTGCAAATCTGTGGCTGCCATCGTGAAATTTTATGAGGCAATTGTTTGGATGTTGATGTGTATGTGCATTTGTGTAGATACACAAACGCACACACATCATCAACTTCCAAAAAATTATCTCTCTTATTGCAAATCTGAGGCTGCCGTCGTCAAATTTCAGAGGCAATTTTTTGGATGTTAATGTGTATGTGCGTTTGTGTATCTCAAAGACACAAATACACATACATCATTAACCTCTAAAATATTGTTTTTCTGGTAAGATTATGATGAGGAACAAAGTTCCATCTGGTAAGATTTCGTAACCCTTGGGATCTCAGAAAAATCTGATTATGTCGGCAGTTTTCTATATAAACTGTCATGGTTATTTCAATTCTTGTCATTAAGTTGATCTACCGACGTAGGATAACAAAATCCAAGAAATAAATTGTTAAAAAAAATTCTTATTAAGACAACAGTTTAAATATAAGGTATGATGTATAAAGTGAATAAATACGACGTTAAATTTTATAATACATCGTTAAATGAAAAACCCCAACGTGGTGAGAGTTAAAGATACCATCGTAGAACTATATGAGAAAGACGTCGATATATTTATCTTTGCCGTAGTTGTACATTAATTTAATACGGCGATATTTTTTATTATACTGCCGTGGATTTATTTGTAATTATACGGCTCCTTATACGAAAACTTGGTCATGTTAATTTCTGAGTAAAAACGGCGGCTTTTTTTGACATCGTCGTCTTTAATTTCTACATCGGTCTATTCATAACTTTTGCCGTTCTTTGTTGGCTTAGATTTTACTCTACGGAAATCCAATTTCAATAAGACGTCGGTTTTTTAATTAGGTGCATCGTTTTTTAGGAACAACCATTGGAATCTCCATTTTTTAGGTGTCTAAGGTGTTATTACACGGCAGTTTTATAGAACCGTCATCTTTTAAAAAACAACGACGGTTTTCCCTTAGACCGTCGTTTTTTTCTGGTCGTCTTTGTCACTTTTTGTAGTAGTGAGAGAATAAACTCTTATTATAATAAGTTTATTCTTTACCCAAATTCATAGTGATCAAGTCGGACTTGATTATATCTCTTTATTGAGATAATATCTGAATTAATGATATTATCTTCTCTTTATTAAGATAATATCTGAATTAATGACATTATCTTATTAAATAAAGATAAAATCATATTAATTCAGATATTATTCCTATTAATTAATTAGCCAAATAAATTGGTTCAATTAATTAATTTAAGAGATAATCTTCTTTTCCACGTGGCGTGCCATGATTGGAGACGAAAATATTTGCTCCCATAGTTTAAATTTCAATTTCACTAACCTTTCAGTATGAAGGTAATCTCAAATTTCAATTTCAATTCTAATTTCCATTTCCAACTCTGATCCTAATTTTGATTTCTGAATTCCAAACACTTTCAAAATTCATAAAACCATGTAAATTATCTATCTTTTTTTATCTCCTACCTGAAATCTCTATCCTCTCTCACACACTTGCTTGCCGGCCAGCCCAGGCTGCTGACACTTCTCTTACCAACCTAGCTTCCGAGCCACATAACTCTCACGTAGAGAAATTTCTCTAACCTTTCAGTATTAACTGCATCTTTCGAGACCAAATTACTGACTTAGGTATCAGAGGGCCTTGCCCACCACTACACCGGTGGTTTTCCGTTGACTGCCATTTGTCTTGCAAGGAATCTTATAGAGGAACGTTCAAAATAGAAGATTCATTTGCGAATATTCTCTCAAGAGGAAATTTGCACAAACAATCACTTTTAAGGTTATAGCCACTTCACGAAATTGGGACATTGCTTCCAACAAATCTTCACGAAATCTCGACTTGGTTTTAGACTTCTCTTCAAGAATAACATCATTATGACATATGTTTGAACAATAATTTGGCTTAACATACTTGTTACATGAAATATTATATAGCCTGCCTAGTGAGAGTGACCATCCTTATTATGAATAGCAATGTAAGAATCCAAGAATGTTACAGAATGAGCATTAATTCCACAACATATATATATATATATCCAACGTTCTTATGAATGATAAAGTAGCAATGTAATGGAAATAATGTTCTTTACTTCATTGAAGGAGATTAAACGTTAAAGTTTTAAGTAAGACCTTCGTCTGAGTGAACAACATGGTATGATGTGAAGCTTACACATTATGGAGCTTTTGTGTGCAAGTGAATATCCATACCTCTTCAATTTGCTTGTTTGTCACCTAAAACCTTTACCCACATTCTTCTTCTCTCTTCCCATCACCATGGATGATGGATATCCTTATAAGGATGAAATGGTCATCAGTTTCGAAGACAATTTGGATTTGGAGAAGTGTTTTGAAAACAAAATCGTGTTGGTGGAACTCCTCATTATTGATAACAAACCTCCTCAATCCGTAATCAAAGAAGACTTACGAGCAACATGGAATACCATACGAGTGGTGAAAGTTATCAAGGGGAAAGAGAATATCTACTCCATATTCATAGCTGAAGAAGGAGTTGCCCAACAATTGTCGATGGGAGCTCTTGGTTCATCAAAGAGTACACATTCACAGTGAAGCACCAACCTTTTTACCATTTGCTCAATGGCATCCAACCTAACTGGGCCACCTACTAGGTCCAAGCCCACGTCTTACCCTGAAATCCTTGTACCAAGAAGAATGTTGGATAGTTGGGGGCTAGAATTGACCCCGTTCTTGAGGTTTAAGAAATTAATGAGGTTGGCTTTAGAGGCTATTGGCAACTTTGACACCTCTAAATTGCTTGCTCTTAGGTTCATCCTTCCCTACCTAGCGAAAATAAGAATAAGTATACATATGTGGTATGAAGGATTAAAGGAGTTTCATCTCAAATGTGGTTTTCTAGGACATAATCGAGGTTGCCAATAGCCTGTGAACCCCTCAATGGTGAAGGAGGGGTGGTGTTAAAATGAGGACCTTCTTACTCCGGCCACGTCCAAACACTTAAGCCTCTTGTTCCCTTATAAAAATGAAGCCCCTATGGGTCCCGTAGATTTTTTGACTGGAATCATTGCTACCACATTTGGGAGCGTGATGTGGAGGGATTGTATGAGATTTCGGCAGTGTAAATCATGTGAGCAATCAAGAAAGTGCCTTGGTTAGTGTGTCAGCATATGAGACAACCTTTGCTCCTCTTATATACCTCAAGGCAACAATCTAAATCAAGGGGATTGCACAACTGCAACAGAAAATTATACATACTATCATGCCTAGGAGTAAACCTATACGCATTGCAATTTTTGAAATAGCACACTTACCCTAGAGGTCGAAAGTCTCTCTTTTCACAAAAGTTGGTGTGACCCAAAAACCATCCCACTTTGACCCTTGATGATTCGTGCCTCTCTGAGCCCAACTAGTCTATTTGGCCCAAACCAGTTGTGTTGGGATTCTCTATGGGGTGTCAGCCCAACTAGTGATTGAGGAGGTTGAAAACTCAACATTGTTTTAGCCAAGTGAGCACAATCTTGATCTAGAACCTAATCATGAGGAAAAACACAGAAAGGGGAAGGAAAAGATAATTGACTCAAGGTTTTTGCAAGGGCCAAACCAGCGACCATGGGTTTCGCTTAGTCCTAGCCATGGTTGTTCCCTTCGCCTCTCATGCCGAGGAGGTCAAAACTCATGAGGGAAATTAAGAGAAGGTCATGGCAGAAGTAATCTTGCAAGAAAGACCAAGAAAAAAAGTGACAAACTTCTTTGCTTCGAGAACAATCTATGCGGGGTGGTAATTAGCCCTTCCAAAGAACAAGAGGTGGTGGGACTCACTATGGTCTAAAGAAAGAGGAATTTTGGAATTCCCTGGCAGATTTTGACAAAAAAGATGGCTCTCCTCGGATGGTGATTGGTGATCTCAATGAGGTTATTTGGCCACACTAAAAAAGAGGGTAGGGTTGACTAGAATTCTAGAAGAAAACACTACATGTTGTAGTTCATGACAAGCAATAACCTCATTGAACTAAGGTTTAAAGGACACATTTTCAAGTGGGAAATGAATTTTGGTGATTCTAACACTATCATGAAGCATCTAGATCGAGCTTTGGCCAACCTTACTAGTTCGAAAAGTGGCCAAACTTATATACTACCGTTGGAACCAGAATTGAATTCGACCACTGCCCCTTGGTTCTTGATTTCAACCCTAATCTTCAAAAAGGTGGTAAGGTGTTCAAATTTGAAACCAAATGTTTTGAGATGCCAAATTGTGAAGACGTGATCAAGTGGTGTTGGGAAAAGCATGTTATTGGCCCATACCAAAAAACAGTTGATTAATAAGTTAAATTGGTTTCGCAATAAGTTACACAATGGAGTAAATCAATGGTGAAGAATGAAAAGGTGCATATTGATTGTCTCATGAATGAGCTAGAGCTTCTCCAATATGGGAGTAATGATCATTCATCAAGGGAGAGACATAATGAGATCCAAAAACAGTTGGGCTCCCTTTTGGAAAAAGAGGAGATTTTCTAGAAACAAACGTCTATAACTAATTGGCTTAAGACAGCCGACTCGAACACACGCTTCTTCCACCTCTCCACTACTTAGAGGCAACAACGTAATCGTGTTACACATATCAAAAGTGATAATGGTGCATGGATTTGTGGAGACAAAAGTGATAATTGGTGCTAAGTTCAAGACCTACTTTCCAACCTCTTCAAAACTAATGGTGCTAGAAACATGGGCAATGTGTTATTAGGTGTTCAACCTATAATCACAAGAGAGATCTGAGCTCAACCAGAAATTTATAGATCTTATCCCTAAAGTGGCGACACATGTTAACACTAAGTAATTCAGACCTACCAGCTTATGCAACAATACGTACAAACAATTAGGACTATATGACTTTTATCCAAATAAAAAAGAATTGGAAAATAATACCTTTTAATTTCTATTCCCTATATGAACTAATGTGAAGGAAGTCTTGGTCTCTAAAGTCCCTGCTCCATAGCTGCACACAGGAAAAATATAATTGAAATGGGGGTGTTTGTTCTCCTACATCTTGCTTCTAGTGATAGAATTACAAGCGAAAGAATTTTATTCAAACAACTAGAAAATTACAACGAGAGCAATCCCAATTAGCAATAAGATGGACATGGACTTGGGTAAATCTTCCCCAATGACCTAAGTTAGCCTAGGGCTGAATTGATCTATAGAGAAACGATCTCAAAAATATATTGACTAAAACCCCTATCTACCATCTTCATCGTCCCTAATCAAGGCAGTTTATCAAGAACAAACTGGCCGCTAACCGACATAACTCACCTAACTCTCCTAGAGACTAGACAACCTAGCTAACTCAAACAAGTTCCTATACAAAAACAAACAAACTCACAAACAACGCAACAAGAGAGTTTTTGGAATTTATTAACAAACACCACCAAAACTAAAGAAACTCAACAAAACACAACTAAAAAAGCGGCAACACACCAAAGGTGCTTCACAAGATGGTTCTCACAGCCTAAGCCATCTAGATCTAACGCATGTACAACCAGATATGCAACAAGGAAGGAAAAACATCATAGTCCACCAATGCTCCCAGATTTGACGAGATCCAGGGAAAGAACCCCAAATCTAAATCTTTCTTGCTCTATCTCTCATTCTTTCTTCTTCCACTCTTCTTTGCTGTGAAATCCCAACGGGATTAGAACCTATTCTCTCCTTTTGCTTGCGCTCCCTAAATCTTTCTTCAAAATTTTAATTCTTTACAAGTTAGATAACTTTATGTATGTATACTTTTTGCTTGTAGCTGTATTGACTACCATTATTGTTAATAATAATACTAATTTGGATTATAGCCATAGTTTGGCCATTTATTGTCATCGTCTTCACTGTAGTTCGAATTATAGCTGTTGTGACCATATTGATTCATGATTCAAATCTTGTACTATAGAAGTCCAACTAGGCGTGCCAAAAAATGCTTGCCCCAAAATCGCCCCAGCCTTAGAAATAGGTAAGAGATTATATTGCGCAAGTGTGCCACCATTAGTAAGAGAGAGAGAGAGAGAGAGAGAGAGAGATCGGGTATGGTTGGTGCGGTTGGGTTTCGTAGGTCAGAGCCTCATGAGTTGAGTGGCACATGGCATGTGTCGCATGGTGGCGCGGTGGTCAACGTGGGGGAGATTACATCGGTGACTCCATTCAAGATGGCTTTTCTCATGCTTTTGTAGGTGGATGTGTTGTGAGATTAGATTGATGAATGATGGTGGTGCAGTTGATTTCACCGAGAAAGAATTAGTTTTTTAGAGGCTATGGGTGGCTTGATCATATTTTGAAAGAGGGAAAGAGAGGTTGGATGGCTTGATGTTGGGGGTTATGGTTGGCTGTTTTGGTTGTTCCTATTTTCCTTTCTTCTCTATTTGGATGATGAATTGGATGGATAGATGGATTGTTTTTTGAAGGTGAGATGGTTTGGCAATGCCATTGAATTGTGAGAGATGGGGTTGATAGAGAGCATAGATACAATAAGAGAGGAAGTGGGGAATGTCGAGGTGGGGCTGCGTCTTGGGAATGGGATAAGGGCTAGGATGGTGCGATTGGATATGAATAATTTTTTTTTCCAAATATTTTTTAACAGGTTGTTTAATTTTTATCTTATTTTATCATTTAATATAATGGATTTTGTAGGGGCTTTTTCTTCCAGCAGCTGCAAATGGGCTGGGCCGTCGTAAAAGGGAAATTGCTGAAATTGCCCCCTGTGTCTGAGTTCGAAAATCAAACCTCAAAAGCGCTTCGAAAGGGTAGTAGAGCCTTAGGAAGCGTTCTGGTTACCTTCACCAACGAAAATAATGGCTGCTTACAGATGATTTCTTGATGCTTACAGATAAATTTTCTAGCTTGGCATGAGAGGCTTGTGGCATGGAAGCAAAATCAGCATGAGTTTAGCACCAAAGAGGAAAATATGGCTTCCTAGGGAGAAATGGGAGTGTTTAAGGTGAGGAAGAAGAAGTTTTCAGGCTGATTTGGCTGAGAAGAAAGAAACAAAGAACAATGTTCTTCCGGTAGCTTGACAAATCTTTTGACAGATGTGAAAGTGGTCTGCCAAAAGAGGGAAATGGAGAAGAAGGGTGAATAGTGCACGAAATTGCTGGGTTTTTGCAGGTAAGAGAGAAAGCTTGCTCTCTGAATCTGAGTTGAGTTTTGTTGGGTAGAAGAGGCCTCATTTTATAACTTGTTGGAAACTATCCTTTCCCAAGAAACCCTAATGGTTTCTTCCCAGCTTGGCCAAGCTTTTTCTTCCTTTCTCCTCTCCTCCCTTGACTTTTCTATCTTGGTGAAATTTCCTCTATCTATTTGCACAAAATCAGGAATTTTGGGAGCTCAAGGCCCCCTTTCCCGCAGTTGTTTCAGTGGGAGACTTCCATTCCTAGCCATCTCATTCCTTTCTTTCTTTCATTTTCCATGGCCAGGTCTGATGGGGGAAGGAATTGGGGTATGTATGCTAGTTCGAAGAGTGCTTCTCTTCCTGACAGCTTGCACATTAATACCCCTTGGTTCTTCAGGTGTTTTGTGCTTGGACATCTCCTTCGTGGCTTCTGTTTTTTCCAGCAAGGAGCTGAGGCTTTGGCTTCTTCTCTTTTCTAATTGTATGGGCCTTCTAAGATAATGGGTTGGTTTATCAAAATAAATGGGCTAACCTCAACAAGTGTTGGACTATTTTTGTTGAGGTGTTGGGCTAATTTGGTTAAGCTAATGAGCTATTTCCTCTTTTGTGCTCACCCATATATTTGGGCCTAAGAAATGGGCTTGAGTCTCGAGCTTCCCAAGCAACCTGAGATTCCATTTCTCGACCCATCAATGGGCCTCATGTTGATTTATTACCATCCATATCACAACTCACTCAAGCAAGCCCCGGGTATTTGAGTGGCTTGGGGCCCACTTAAGTTTGTGGCGTGATTAGGTGCGGAATAATAATTCCTTACTTGGCGTGGTGTGTCGCTTGACATGGCATGTGTGCAAACGCATATGATGAACTTTCGCGTGCCCAAATCGGGTTTATTCTCGGTAAGGTATTACATTAGGCCGAGAATTTATTTGAGCCGAAGCATGGATTTTTTGGGCCTCAATAGATTTTAAGATTTTTTTTTAAAAGGAGGTATACTTAGTGTAAGTGGTTAGTCAATTCATGAGGTGGGTCCTACAGTATTCACGTCATCAGTTAATGTTTGACCATACGGTTAACTTAACGAAGGGTTGAAATTGGTCACTTTTAATGATGTGGTGGTGTAAATTGATAAAATTGAAACCCTATAACTCATATTGAAAATCACCCCAAACCCGGTATGAAAATTATGTGGAAAGTTTCCCATGAGTTGTCAATTGGAGATCTTAGAAATCTATAGGGATCTTTGAACATATATGTTTGACATATGTGTAAGTGTTTAGATGTGTTGAGAGAGAGAGTGAGCCTTTCTTCTTCTCTTGATCTTCTTTATAAACTAGCATGTTGACCAAACTTTAATAGCAAGAATACTTGGCGCTCAAGAATTCGTATTGCAGAATTGCTCCTATTTTAGCTCCATATAGATCCTTGAAAAATCTTTTCAAATCGTTATCTTTGGTGTAAAGAAAGTTACCACCTAATATTTATTTCCTTCCAAATAAAATAAATAGCCGTATTTTGGTCATTTAAATATTGCATGAATCTAGAAATTATTATTTATCTTGTATTCCAAGCAAATCAAAGATAATTTCTAAAAATTATTCCATAAAATTATGAAAATATCTTTAAAAATTTCCTAGATTTTCCTCCATTTGACATGCACGACAAATAATTTCCTTAAAATTCTCCAGATCATGTATTTTGGCATAATTGGACAAAAGTACAAATTTTGGTACAAACACTAATAAATTATAGTCCCACAATTATGTTGCTCGATTCTTCTAAAGATATAGAAGAAGTCAAATGTGTAATCAATTTTACAATTAATAACTTAGGGATTGATAACCATTTCATTTTTAGTTTTCAATTTTCATTTTAACTTTTTTTGAAAACTGAAAACATGTTTGGTAACAGATTTCATTTTCAGTTTTCAAAAAAGTGAAATCTAGTTTTGAAAATCACACTTATTTTTTAAAGGGAGACTTTGGAAAAACCCAAAGGAGAGAGAAATTTTGTAAAAGAAGCCAAAATAGACAAATTTGCCCTTATATATTTTTGGATTTCCTTAGAAATCATTTACACTTGCATGTCTTTGATTTGAAAGTTGAGAGGTTTTTCTGTCTTTTTTGAAAAAGCTTTGGCTTTTTCCAAAAGTGAAAATTTTTTTATGGGTAAAACCTAAATTTACTTTTTTTGTGAAAATAACTTGAAAGTGTTTTTAGTTTTAGTTTTCATTTTTTTTTCCTCTCATTTTTTATTCACTATTTTTACATCACCACACATGAAATTCACAATTTGACCCAAAAAAAATTCATTTTCAAGGTCCACATAAAACTGAAATCTAAAAATAGTTACCAAACAATTTTTAATTTTTAATTTAAAAAAATGAAAATTGAAAACTAGAAATTGAAAAATAAAAACTGAAAACTGAAATGGTTATCAAAGAGACCTTTAATTACTATTGCTTTTTCTAAAAAAAATCGAGATTTTAGTTGTGGACTAATTCAATTCATGGTTGCTGTCTTGTCAAGCCGTCAATTGTGAAAGTAGAAAATAATACCGAAATTCAACTATTCAAGTCACTTGCGCGTCACAATACAGAAAACAAAAGTCGAATTGAAGCATAAAAAAATAAAAAACAAAATAAAGAAAAAAGAAATAGGCAAAAAAAAAAGAAAGGGTAAAACGCAGGGGAAATGCAACAAAAACGGTTTAATTTGTGTGTTAAATGGCGACGGAGGAGCTCCTCCTCAACGCTCTCTCTCTTCCAAAGATCTCATGCTATTCTTCGTAGCCTCTCTTCCTCAGGTAAAGCTCCTCTCTCTCTCTCTCTCTCTCTTGATATATACAAACACAAAGTCGCACACAGACATTTGTATCAATGATCTGATCACCGTTTGATCACTAATCAATTCCTGGATCCGATTGCACATTTCAATTTTCATTTCCACAAATTTCTCCATTTTCGTTGATTCATTTGCACCATAAATTTTTAATTTTCTTGCTTGTTGAATTTTCCTTTGCAGTTATTTGGATATCTGGATTTGGGTGTTTGAGTTTTTTCCTTTTTTCCCACTGTGTAATGGTAGTTGTGGAGGTTGAGGTGAAGGAGAAGAAGAAGGAGAAGGAGAAGGAGAAGAGGAGAGGTAGTGGTATTGGTATTGGTGGGTTTTGGTTTTGGTGGACTGTGACATTGGTATGCCTTGTGGAGGTGGAGAGGATAAGCAATGGGGTTGTGGGAAATGTGGTGCCGCTGTTAATTTGCAAAGAGTTGGTTCAATTGTCCGTGACATTGGCGACCCATGCCTCTCGCAGTCGCCTATAAAGGTGGTTATGGCTGTAAGACTCTCACATTAGTTATATTTGTCTTTGTGCATTTTATGTATTTATTTGGATTCGGGTTCGTTCGTTTTCAATATCTGATTAAGTATGAGAACATTGAATTTCACACACACATATATATGTTGTAATGCTCCATTTTCAGATAGTTTGACATTCCATACTGTTAGACTATTGATTGGAACCATTGATCAGGTGGATTTTCTTATCTGAATGTGTGTTACAGATTTACAATCTTGCAAGAGAACATTTCCCTCTGGGGGAGGGAAAAATAAATCAGGCAGGGACTCTAGGAGTTTCCTGCAAAAGTTGTTTATTACACCATTGTGATGCCATGCCCTTTTTCAGGTCAAATCAAGCTCATATAACATATTAGGATTTGGCTTGCGGCTGATGTGAGATTTTACATTCCATCATGTTTTATTTGACCATATCATGCACCATAGTGAGGAAGCACTTGTGCCTTTTTGGTCGGTTAATGCTCCAATTGTCACAAACTACATCTTGATCTTCCAAATAGTTTGCGCCTCTGGGACAAGGATGGGGCATTAAAAGTAATATTACACTGCATCTTAATCTTTCTAATAGTGTGGTCCTCTTAGACAAGGATGAGGGTGCTACATATGAATGTAGGGTCATGACTAGGCTGGAACAATTTGTGAGGAGTGGATCATTAATCGGCCACCATAATCTGGGTGGTATTTTTTTTTATAGAGGGTTGTAATTCTTCTTGACTTCTAATAAAGAATGCACTTAGGAAACTCAATGGACTCTGACGATATTAATAACTCTTATAAGACTTAAATAGTTACTAATAAATAAACTACTTCTGGACATATGAACTCAAGCTCTAAGCATGTTTGATTTCCATCTTTACCACTGCTGAGAAAATTTGGCTCCATTGAGTGAAAAGCTTTGCATTTCTCAAAGAGTTAGACCCTTATTGCATTGGACAATATGTTCAAACAATTCTTTGATCTTGATTTTCCGGGGGTTTTTTGGTGGCTGCATCAAATTCTGACTTCTCTTCTGGAAACACTTTTTCTATACTTTTCTTGTTGTTAAAGCATTTCATTTTTTTCAAAATTGATAGTACAACCACCTTGTATTTACCTTTATAATATCTAGGATATCACTGTTATTCAAATATATGGACCAAAACGAGGTAACATATCTTAGAACCCTTCTTAAGTGACAATCTATCTCTATATAGACATTCTACTAAAGCCATTTACCCCATTTCAAAGCATCCAAATGTCCTGGTGTAGCAACAGATATCATGCTTACTCAAACTTTGGGCCTTCGTTCTAGTGGAATCCCCTCCCCTTTTAAGAATAAGGGTCAAGTCTGAGCTTCGTGGTTCAATCCTCAGGTGGCCTGCTGCTTCCTGTTTTGTTAAGAAAAAAAGATGAAAAAAAACTTCTGAGACTTTCTTATGTATTTTATTTTAAACATCTACAAATCTCTTTGGACAGAAGGAATGAGTTGGGGGAAAATGTTATAAGCCTTGTTTCTAGTTTTGCTGGAGAATATAGGGCCAAGGGGTGTTTACGTTGGTATTTATTCTAGAAACTGAGAGACCAGTTCTTGAAATATGTGTTAGCTCCTAGTACTTCATCACCATCACAATTTAAGACTTTCTGTAAACTTCTAGTCTTTCTAATTTTTTGGTGTGAAATTGAAGCTCTTCATTACAATTTAAAACTGAGGGAGCATGATACATTTCTGAATTTGTTTTCAGTAGAAAGTGTTTAATTTTTGTTCTCATGTGTTCTTCTTTGTGTGTAATTAAATTACCACCTACATTTTATTCTCATTTCTGATTGTATATAATTATGGTAATGAGTAGTAGATCTCCATTACAATTTAAAGACTGAGGGAGCATGATGCTTGTCAGATTTGGTCTTTGAAGAAAGGTGTTTTAACTTTTTTCATGCATGCTATTCTTTCCATGTAATTAAATTATCATATAAGTTTTCTTCTTATTTATGATTGTATTCATTTATAGAGCGTTGTCGTTTTATTTTCGAATGATTCAGGTGAACAAAATGCTTAAACCGGAGAAGTGGCAGGCAACATTTGATAGCGATGGGAAGAATTTTTGTTTTCAGAAGGCACTCAAATTAATAGTATTGGGGGTATGTTGGTTTACAGTTGAATATAATTTGGGCCTAATTTGTAGGGAGTTCTTTTTTATTTTGTTTCAGTTGATTTTTCATATTTTATAATTAACTGTCTACTTATGTTATATTTTTTGATAAATTTGTTGTACACATAGTGAGATCGTGATTTGTGGTGGCAGCAGTATTAGAGTTACAGATGACCTCTATCTGTGACAGCTATTCAATTAATTACATCTAAGTCTTCAGATATGTGGTCAAAGCTTTTGAAGAGAAGTTGCACATATTTGTTTATTTTCTACCACTTGTACTACCAACTGTGGCTAGGCATGGCATTTTTGGTGTATATTCTCTCATTTCACTCTAGCGTAAACATTTAAGTGTTCAGGTGGTATTTTATTGGCATATATGGTAATCTTAGTCTGGTTGATTGCTTTTGTTTTGTTTATGAAATAGAGCTTTGTTTTAGACATGTCATTTTAAACATATTGAAATTGATAATTTGTGATTTGAAGTGTTAAAATCTCTATCTTGAAGATGATGTAATCAAAGACTTTCTAACTTATAATTGTAATGGAACTTTTTGCTGCATCATAGGGCGTTGATCAATCTATAAGGCCAGAAGTGTGGGAATTTTTACTTGGTTGTTATGCTCTGGGTAGTACTGCGGAGTCTCGAAGGCAGTTGCGGACAGCCCGGAGGTCCTTTTCTTCTTAATATTTTTAATTAACTTTTATGATAGATTTCTCTTTAAAACTCTTATTCTATTGGTGATTAAACATGTCGATATAGATACTTTTGGGGCATGTAACAGGTGTTTTATATGGAGACCCCAAAGTTTCACTTGTCCATGGATTATGTGTCAGGCAATTGATAACTTACTCCAGGCCCTCATCTGCTTTCAGTGTCCTTGATGTGGTCAATGATGGGCCAATTTGGAAAGAAATGGTGCCAAGTGGATATGGGGTCACATGCAGCGCATATAGCACCTTTCCTTTCACACATAAGGAAAATGAGAAATTTTTCTTATGTTTTTAGTCTAAAGGAAAATGCAAAACTTCTCCAGAATCATTTTACTCCATTCTGTGACTGTTTATGTGGCTTGTCATGCATATCACTCTCAATATGGGTCTATCTGAAAACAAAGATGATGCCAAGTGGATATGAGGTCACATGCAGGGCATATAGCACCTTTCCATTCACTATTAGGAAAATGCAAAATATTTTCTTTTTTTTTCTCTGAAGGAAAATGCAAAACTTTTCCAGAATCATTTTACTTCATGACGTGACTGATTATGTGGCTTGTCATGCATGCCACTCAAACTAAACCTGTATAACATGAAACTACTTGGCAAGCCAGGTGTCATCTGGTCATGGTTTAAATCTATTCCGCAATAAAACTTCTGCAGGAGTAGCATTATTCTTAGTATAGAAAAGAGACTAAATAAAAACATTTAACAAAGTAACAAGAGCAATAGTTGTAATTCAGGTTATATATATATATATATATATATATATATTTTATTACGTGTGTTCAAATGCACCATGAAATTTTCTTTTCAGCTTATGGAATTCTTTTGAATTAGTAAGTGCAGTTGAAATACAGTCTTTTGGATTTGTTTGGATTTACCGTCTTCATAATTTTTTGTATGCAGGGAACGTTACAGGGACCTGATTAAGCAGTGCCAAATGATGCATTCAAGCATTGGAACTGGTTCACTTGCTTATGTTGTTGGGTCCAAGGTTATGGATGTTAGGGCACCGTCTAAAGATGACGAAGGGGGGGAAGCTAAAGTTGAACATAGACAAACTTCTTTTGATAATACTAACAAAGTAGAGAACTATTGTGATAGGAATAATAATTGTACAGATACATCATATGCATGCCAACAAGAGAGTTCTAGTGAGTCGGCCGACCTTGTCAGTGTGAGGGAAAGCACAGATAGTGCAGCATATGATTCTTCTTGTTTCATACATACTTCTAGTCCACATGACTGCAGCTCCCCAAAGCTAGGGAGAGAAGCAGATGGAACAAAATATGTACCAAAAAGTTATTTTGAATATCCTACTTTATCGGTCGCTGATTTGTTTGAAAAGTGTGAAGAAGATGATGAAGGTCGCGTGTCTGATGATAAACTTTCTGCGCCATGTAAGTCAAGGTTGAAAAAGGACAGCATGCACAGTTTTCAAGTCAATAACAATGTAGATTTAGTTATTGAATCAAATTGCTCACCATCCAAGAATGTTTCACGCACCATTAACTCTGAAATTGAAATGGTTCGTACTGATGCCCATCATTCAGTATTGCAGTCCAATAATATGGGTAATAAGAAAGAAATAGTAAACAGGATGAGAATATCAGATGTACCAGATACAGAATTTAGAAATACAACAATGTCTCAAGGAGGGACCGTGAGTGAAGACAGAGTATCTGAATGGCTTTGGACTCTCCACCGAATAGGTAAGTCTACCTTCCTTTCTTAGTCTCACTTATAATTCATACTGTTGTTGCTCTCATTGATTGATCCTCTTAAAGCCTTGTTTTCAGTTGAGAAAATTTGTCATTTTTTTTTTCTTTCTTTCAGTTGTTGATGTGGTAAGAACAGACAGTCATCTTGAATTCTATGAGGATGCAAAAAATTTAGCTAGGATGTCAGATATTCTTGCTGTTTATGCGTGGGTTGATCCAGCAACCGGATATTGTCAAGGTTGTGTTTTTGTTATTAGTTTTCTTTTTCTAATGCTCTTTCTGTCCTCACATGATTTTCTCTTAAATTAAGATTCAAAATTATCACTCTATCTCAAAAGCTGCAGAAGTAAGTTTTAGTTTAACTGATTATTGTTTTTTAGGTATGAGTGACTTGCTGTCTCCATTTGTCGTCCTGTTTGAGGATAATGCTGATGCGTTTTGGTGCTTTGAAATGCTTCTAAGGAGAATGGTATTCTAAACTTGACAAATATATTTTGAGGTAGATATTTCTATGCTCCATCACTGACATTTTCTTTTCAAACTCTTCATTCAGCGGGAAAATTTTCAGATGGAAGGACCAACTGGGGTAATGAAGCAGTTGCAAGCATTGTGGAATATCTTGGAACTCACAGACAGGGAAATGTTTGCACACCTGTCACACATAGGTGCTGAAAGCCTTCATTTTGCATTTCGGATGCTGCTGGTACTCTTCCGTCGGGAGTTATCGTTTGATGATGCTCTTTGTATGTGGGAGGTTTGTGCTCTTTAGTTACTCTGTCATGCTTGATATGGTAGATCACCCAATGAATTTATGAACTGTTAATATGGACCTCAAAACCTGCAATTATAATATATGCTTTACAAAATGGATGAACTATGGCACATATTTGATGCAAATTATTTACACGTGTATTAAATACAAATTGGGTGCAGTTTCCATAGTCCATAGGATAAATGATTGCTTTGCTCTGTCTTTTCATTAAGTTTAACTTATCACATAATGTTGGGTTTAAGGTTTATGGGCATATTTCCTAATATTGTAGTTCTTATGATGAGCTCGGAATCAGAAAAGAGCAAGAAAAATAAATAAATTGGTCTTTGGAGTGTGTAACTGCCAGAAAAATATTTAACTAAAGTATTTCTATAATTTATATAAAAGAGAAATTTCTATGATAAACTGCAGCATGTATATTTGTATATATTCAAATTGTCAGTTATGTCAAATGCAGATGATGTGGGCTGCTGATTTTCAAGAATCCTTGGCTTACAATTTAGAGGACAGCTGTCTAGAAGCCTTGGTGGTACAGCTTCCTAGGGATTTGGAAGCAGAAATGAGGGGTGAAAGTGTGGAGGGTGGTGGTGATATGAAGGGCGGCTCACATTCAAATCATGGAAATCCAGAACACTCCATGTCTGACACTGGAATGAAATCAGCATCAACATATCATTTTTGTGGGTTGACAAGGAATTTTTGGTCAAAGAATGATCGCATGCACATCTGCACTGCAGTCTCATCAACTAGGAATGGGGATGATGAGCTACCAGTCTTCTGCGTTGCCGCAATCCTCATCATGAACCGCCAGAAAATTATTCGTCAGACGCGCTCAATTGATGATATGATAAAGGTAGGTGCATTATATTGAGTTTTCTGTTTTATATTGTACTTTGCATTAGTTAATTTATTTCTCTGTTTGTTTTCTTCGGTTACTTTTACAGTTACCTGGTCTATAATTTTGATCGGTCAGTTCTGCACTGACTTTTATCTTTTTGGGATAAGAAACACAAACTTTGTTATTAAAATTGGAGACAAAGTATAAGTAGAACGTGTGAGAAGTCCATAGAATCTAGGATAGGATGCACCTTCAAACTCAAGAGAAATCCTACTAAAAGGCGTATCTTTAAAATTTCTCAAAAAAAAAGTCTGAAGAAAATCCACTCCCTCATGCCATTTTTTTGTTCAAATGTTGTCATCCGTGAGATTTCATCTCAGGACTCAGGAGCTCCTCCAACATAGTGGAGACTAGATGCCACTAGTCTTGCAGAATCCATATAGTATGATTGGAGGCTATTTTACAAATGGGAATGTAGGTTGGTCGTAAGCATATTGGTTACAGGATATGGATAAACAGTATAAGAAGTAAAAAATTCCAAGGACTACTCATCTCCTGTGTTGCATGGATATCCATATCCACATGCATATGGATAAAGAGTAAAAAAAGTTTTAAGGATCACTCATTCTCTCTGTTGCCGTCAATGGATAGGGGATACAGGATTCGGTGCTAGATGATACTATACATTTAAAAAAACAAGAATACGGGTATACCAATAGAATAATATGTATTATGTTACATATGTACATATATATATAGTCCCCTTCTATTGAAGGATCCCTCAAATAATTTTATTTGAGGGACACCCTTTAGGATACATTACAAAAAAAAATTCCAACGATCCAAACCGTTTGTTTTTCAAATCTTCATTCATAGATCATCCTTGCAAATTGAAAACCATTAAGAAATCTAATTAGGACCAACAAAATACACGAACATGGTGCTTCAAGAAAATACTATAATAACAACAATCTAATTAGTGGTCAAATGGTTTCGGATTCAAGTGATATTTTGCAGAGATGATCTTTGAGGGAATATCTAAAAACTAGACAGTTCGGATCGGTGAAATACAATGCATGGTGGGCTCTACAAGGGTGTCCCTCGACTGAAGCTTATGTATATATATAAAGAATTTAATAATCTGCCTCTTTTGGCCCTTGGTTGTTGTGTTGGACGATATGAAAGTAGAGCTTCTCTTTTCTTCTCTGTGTGTGTATTTTTTTTCTCCATATCTATAGTTTTTAAAAATTAAGAACAGACATTGGTTTTTTAAATAATGTTGAAAATAACTATTTCTTGACTTTAACGAGTGCCGGTTGTCTGGATAGGTGAAATTGTCAAAATATCAATTGATACGGATTTTAAATATTAGATTTGTATCAGGGAGTGTCGTAATGATATGGGGATCTTTGTGATGCCCTTGTGGTGTTAAGAGGTTTTTCTGATCCAATTTATTTGAGTTGGATTTGTAACTCTTCATGATTTATGGATTGTTTTTCTACTTTTCCTAAATAATTTCCTTGAAACTTATTTTAATGCACTGCAGATTTTCAATGATAATTTGCTGAAAATCAGTGTCAAAAGATGCATCCGCACAGCGGTCAAGCTTCGGAAGAAATATTTCTACAAGGTTAGATTCTCTTTGATTTATTATTTCCCTCTAACTATCAGTGAGAGAGCGCGTTATGGTGGTTTTTCGTAGATTTTGAAGAGAATTCTCTCACCATCGATGGTGTTGCACATCATCCTCTTGAGTTAAGAAATAAAGCATGGGATGGCACCACATATTAGTAGAGCTTTGTATGTCATTTGCATGTACCCTTTTTAGACACACAGACTATTCGTGAAATTTCTCTTTTTCAATCTAAAACCAAATGTGTGTGGCTGTATATATAGGGAAAACTTATACATAGGGATCCCTTTTGATAAGAAGCAAAGGGAATCGCTTGTGGGACCAACCCTCAATGTGATTCAGTAATCTAAGCCGTCCATTTGTTAAATCCCTATTCAGTTTACAAAATAATAACTGAATGAAAAATCATTTATTTATTTTAATGGTCTGGTTTACTTGATTATTTTTACAGAGATGATTTTTAAATCTGAACCTAAAACTTAGACAGTTCGGATCACTGGACCACATTGCTTGGCGACCCTAACAATGCAATCCCTTTTGCATCCTAGAGAAAGGGATTCTTCTTTTGTAAATATATGTGACTGGAACTTTGACATGATGCTTTTTACTGAGCTTTTTAATTATGTCAAAATGTGATAAAACAGTTGGGTTACTGCCATATATTGTCAAATTATTCATTGATGACCACGGCCGAGCCTTCTAATTCAAGGCCCACTTCCCTGCCTGCAGGCCTTTGGGTGACCTTAGAACCATCTAATTCTTGTTCGATTTTGCTTTAATTATAGTTATTCTACAATAAATGAACACAAAGTATTTTAAAACAGTTTACTTTAGAGTATACTGAATATTATTGACTGAAAGAAAATGGCAGATGATTCTTTTAGAAACTTAAAAAAAATAAATATTAAACTAAAAAGATTTATAAACGCTGGGCGGATGGGCAGGTGGACAGGTTGGCTTATTGGTCCTCCCAGTTATGCTCATTGGGTGCTTGGCGGGCAAAAAAAGGCCCATGACTCAGGCCAAAGCCTGGTTGGGTCATCTGATGGAACTGAAACACAGGCGGCCACTAACAGAAATGGACAGAAACGACCATTTTGTTGCATGAAACCGTGCATATTGCTTTGTGGATGCTCTTTTTGAAACTTAACTTCTGCTTGAACCAGCTTATCAAGAAAAACAGCCCTTCAGCCCGGAATGGTGACTAGGATCTTTTCATTCCCAGATAGCACGGTGATGACACTCTGATCTGATTACACTCACAAGTTCAAGCTGAAGCGCCATTGCTGTTTGTAGATTGGTCCAGTTATTTGCACTTATGTTGTCTCCTTCAAATTTTTTGCAAGGTAAACACCATGTGATTTTCTTTTCTTTCATTTGTATGGAACTCCACATGAGTTTCAGTCTGAGCTGACTTGGAAATGTTTCTAGATTAGGGCTTTCTCTTTTTTGTTTCTAGTTTTGGTACATTTTAGCATTCAATCAAATGATAAATCATGGTTTTGTTTGAATTTGAATGGAACAAATATCAGCTCTTAAGGAGTGGTATGTGAAAAAGTGATCGTGTTATTTATATTATTTGGTTGATGGGAAATCATGCAAAGTGAGTCTGTATCAACTTTTTAGGAAGAAGGGTGAAATCTTGATATACGTTATTTAGATTTATAATAGTAATTATTAGCTTATGTAGCTATAGGAATTTTATATTGAACTGCCTCTGTATCGTCATTGGATTTTCGTTTTGGGCACATTGATTGAGATTCCAGACGTAAAGTTTATGAAACTTGCCTTCCACCGATAACTTCTCTCTCTCTCTCTCTCTCTCAATTTCTTTTAGTTTGTTTACATCATTAGTTTCAACATTATTGTTGTCTGAATTAGGATTTGAACTCTTGGCTGGTGGTCACTTGCAGATAGCTATAAGTATCTGATCTTTCGGTCTTTCTTCTTTGATGCTGCACTTTTGACTGTTTGTGGACAGTTTTCTTGTCATATCAGGATTTAAGTTCAACTCAAAGATGTGGTAGTGAACTTAATATTAAGATCAGTTAATACTCTCAAAATATGGGTGAAGATTTAATTAGGATAAAATAGCCAAGCTGACAAAAATGAAGGGACATGTTTAGCAAATTTTTAATTTATTTGTGATGTGTAAGTGGCATGTTTGGTTCAGAAATGAAGAACAAGTTTAGTTTAGAAATGAAGGAAACTTAAGGCCCATTTGATAACCTTTTTGTTTTTGGTTTTTGGTTAGAAATAGAGATGAAATAGAGGAAGGAAAAGAGGGATGAAGAAGAGTTGAGGGAAGGGTGAGGAATAAATGAAGGAATGAAACATAGACTTGAAAATGAATATTTGTTTTAGTTTCATTTTATGCAGCAATACACATTTTTCCCCCTCCCTCTCACCATCCTTCCTCCAGCCCTTCCTTTTTACCATATATCTCCTTTCTATCTCTAATTGAAAAACAAAATCAAAAAACAAAAAAAACTTAAAACAAAAAATGAAGAGTTGCCAAATGGGCCCTTTGTTTTGAGTTCATTAATTTATTAATCACAATATACATGGGGCAACCCGAACACAGCTTGATTGTAACCCTAGTGTTGAGTCATTTGGCACGATTAATTACATGGATCAGGTTAGGGTTTAACTATTTTTTGCCTCGAACCACTGATGACACGACACGTACACGATCCATTAACACAAATTGCCACCCTTAATTTGTACCAATATGAAGTACCTGCTGCCACCAATGAAGGCCTCAATTTATCTGGTGATGTTGAGATGAACTTCAAGCCACTTCATTGTGACACTGACTACATTGATCTGAATAATGGCCTCTTTTTGTCTTGTTTATTATCTTGTTTTCTTGGGGAAATCATTTTTACAAAGGGAGACTTTTGTACTTGGTGGTTCAGAAGAATTTGAGTATTTTCTTTAGCCTCTCTCTCTCTTGGTTAGAATTCTACCTTGTTAGACTATGATGGTGTAGAATAGCATCTGGGTTTCCTTCGGTTTTCAAATATCGTGTGGATTGTTGAAGCTAATATAGATCTTGTTACCCAGCAGTAGGTGTGACTTGGCATTTACTCTCCATCAGATTCTCAATAACCTTTTTTTTAAAGCCTTTACTTTGTGTTTATTTCTTAATTAAGTATGTGAAGGAAAATATGAGAACATTTTTCTGGAAGGCTGTGACGAAAAGAGAACCAGAGAGACAGGAAAATGAGGAAAAGTAATGTTGGACAGAGTAATAGTGTAGAATGTCATCTTTGTCAGAAAGAAAAACTGAGTAGTGAAAGTGTGGTAATGTATTAGATTTTAAGGAAGTGTGGTAATGTATTAGATTTTAAGTTTCTAAAAATCGGTGTATTTAATGACTCAAAATTGTCAGTTGGGTGCTGAACATCAAATCTGCAGGTTTATTTTGTATTGTCCTTTTCCCTGCATATTCCTGTGAACAATTTCCCTATGATATAGGGGTGTGGAAAAACAGGAGGCTTTCAGAGACCTTTTTGGATTGATATTTTGTAATTAAATAAAAATTTAACATGGAGGAAAAATAAGTTTGGAGAGGACATTAGGATTATCAAGTACTTCATTGGTGACCTAGTGTCAAAATCTGAAAACTTTCTACTTGCTTCCCAATAGATTTTACTTCATGAATCTTCTGTATTATAATTACCTTTGCTCCTCAGGGATTTAGTTGGTGCTAACAATTTGAAGAGGTATTTGAACTGGAAATACTAGCTTTAGAGCCCATACTTTTAGTTAATCTTATTTGCATATTATAGTGTGCTGGACATGGTTACATATTCACCATGTTTGTAATGGTAGATAGTATTTTGGGATCAGACTTCTTTTTTTATTATTTAGGGATTCTGTGGAGTATCCATCAACTGGTACCATTTTGACAATATTTTCTAGCATTTCCAGGAACAAATTTGTTCTTGAAATTATGGGCTTGAGAACCATTAACTGTTTCCCTTACTCCTTTTTTTTATTCACAGTATTTTATTTTATTTTTATAACTTTAGAGCAAGCCAATTATTTCCAGTACCCAATTTGTCCCTAAAATGATTGTGAAAAAGAGCATATGCCTTTATTTCCTTTGTACATTTCCACTTAATCTTTGCCCGAGTCAATTTTTTTTACCTGGCTGGTCTTTGTCAGAGCTTATATTGTTCTCTTCCTCATTTTGAAGTCAGCAGAGAGATTCTAAAGAGGGAAGAAGTTTCTCTGTTTTCGTGCATGGAGGTCTGACTGCTTAGCGGATACCTGTTACAGGTTTGACGAACATGACTATTTCTCAATCTTGTAATCTTCATTAACATCATATTTTGAAGAGCAAACTTGGTGCTGAGAGTTCTGATATCTTGTGGACTTGAGAATGTGATTACTTTGAGGGAGAGATTTATTGACAGTTATACAAAAATATCATATGCTGAGAGTCAACCTAAGAAACTTTGTTTGATAATTTTATTTGTGAATCAGAAATGTACTTTTTAGGTCATTATTAATTATTCCTCAACCATCACAAAACAATGCCACCATGATGACCATTTTGGCCCTTTTTTAATAGCTAAATGATCACGCATTATTTGCCATCTACTTCTTATTTGGAATTCGGCAATTTTTTCGTATCTCTCCCTGGTTTCCTGTCAAAACCTGGTAAGCTCCCATCCGGTTTATTGATAGAGCAAATGACTTCCGAAAGTCCTCAAAACCGGCAGCAAACTCTTTGGTAATTTCCTTAGTGTCATCACCATACAGTAGCTGTTGATCAATTCCAAGTACAGCTTTGTGAGATAGGATTCTAGAGTAGTAGGATTCTGTGAATGTGTGGTTGGCGCCGAATCCTGGGTTTAGATACACCAGCGGGTCGCTCTGCCCCTTCTTTGTTCTCGGCGGGCAAAGCCTTCTCATGTCGGATATGAATGAACGTTCCATGCTTGGGTCTGGCTTTCCCGTGTTATTGAAATTGTACAGCCGATCAACAATGTAACGACAATGTGTTTTGCCCATTGAATGTGCGCCTGACAAAGAGAAACTATCAGAAATGCATTTTA